GCATTGGAATAGGATGATATACCAGTTCGACCTATTGAGAATACCATTCGTGTTTTAACAATAAAAATGGCAAAACTTTTAGATTATAACATACGACTCATATTCAATGACAAATGTGGTACAGAAATGATTATTGACGATGCTTCTTTAATTAAAGAACTTAACAAATATAGTAAAAAGGTCGTTTCAAGCCATTGACTTCTTTTCGTACATTTAAAATTTGTAATTTATATACGTATGCAGCCACAAGATGAAGCAGTCGATATTCTTGTTGAAATTCTTTATCTACATGGATATAGGATAGTAAAGCAACTTCATCTTGGTAGAATAAGAGAACTAGCTTCAATAGTGCTCAAATAAAATATTTTTATCTATAATAAAAAACATTTACTAACAAGTTATTGGTGGCGCTATGAGTTCATCATTTATATATTAACTTTAGCCAATATTTTTATACGGAAGTGACAAAAAGAACTCGTTCGTCAACAAATATTTGACAGATGAATTTTATGACCGGCACATAGATGTAGTAGAAATAGAAGGTCTTATCATAGAAAAACAATTTATATAATAATCTTCCTAGATACATTGATGATGCTTTTATGACATGGAATAAATCTTAAAAAGAATTTGAGCAACTGTAAGATAATGCAAATAAATGACACTCAAATATTAAATTAGATTAAAATCAGTACAAACCTTCGATTTCTTGATGTCTTTATTACTAACAATGATGATTATCTATCAACGTCCGTGTATCACAGGCTAGCAGCTGAACCTTATGCTATACTATGTACCTCTAGTCATTCTCGACACCTATTGGAAAATATTTTGAAGACGATTCTGACGCGAGCTGCAAGATATTCATCCCGAATTGAATTATTTTATAAGGAACGATCCTATGCTAAACTTAATTCAATTATATAATGGATAAGTCTCTATCAGCACGACCAAAAACAATGATTATTTCTACCGATAAAAAAATCTTTAGTTATCCATCATTATTTATTGAAAATGAGTTTCGAAATTCTTTTTTGAATATTTATCTTCATCATCATCTTTACCGTTTATTGCTAATGAAAAACAAGTTTTTCTTCTTCATAATAAAATTGTGGGTTAACCAACAGTTCGACAATCACAAGTGAAAATTATTTCTGCTGTGGCCAACGTCGACAACGATCAAATAGAAGAAACAGAAACTCAACCAGAAGAACAACAAAGGAAGCAGAGAAAAGACAAAACGTTAAAAAAAATAAATTAATACTCATTATACGCATGAAAAAAATATTTCATTCATTTAAAAGAGACATGCATCAAGTTTAAGATAATGTCCTAAAAAGCACACAAGTGGCCGATGTCAAGGTAATTGTTGACAATCGAAATTGTCAAGATGCAATCAATGGACTGATAGTTAAACAACCTAAACAATCATTATTAAGAAACAAACCGATTAAGAGTCAGTCATTCCGAGACATAAACGAACAATATTTTTTAACCACTATAATTATTCATCTTTCAACTTATAAAAAGACAAAAAGAAACGCAGAAAATATCGAGACAATTATTTTAAATAACGAGGAATAGTCCACTCAACCGTCTACTTACAAATATTGCTGGCGTCACATTGAGCAACAATCATACTTCAAAACTTTAAAATCATTTGAAAACTTTCAATCATCTTTTTCTCTTCATCTATATTTAATATTCGAAAACACTAAAGTTTTGTGTCTGTTATCCGCAAATCACTTAATCAATGTTGCATTTGTTCCTCGTTATAGTTTTTCTCATAAAATATATTTATCGCTTAATATTATTCTGGCTGCAAACTTATTCAACATTCATAATCTAACCTATAGCAGTTGCCAACGATAAAATTTGATACTAATTATCAAACATAAGCAAGATCAAAATACGTGTCGTGAAGGTTTATCACACCCACACCCTTAAATCATCGAATGAATTTCATGGATTCGAGCACATCGTATTTATCCAATGAGAATGATGAGAAACTGATTGAAATCATGAAAATAATCTAATATTTCGGAATAAATCATATCTATGGAATGACAGGCATGAAAAACTTATCAAAATCGTCAAATAAACTTCATTTATTATGCATGCTAATTAACGAATATCAAAGAGTCAAGCTTCAATGATTTCCTATTTAGGAATATCGGTGTAAATTTTATCATTATGTCGACATGTAAGATAAATAAAGAAAAATACATCGAGAAGAAGTACAGAACATGTTTGATGGGCTATGCGTCCTTTGTCAGTATGTTGCTCACCTCAGAAGTTGTTGAAAAATGACCCCATCAATTTTTCGTCATTTCGAACCGGTACATTTTTTTATCGTAATTTTGTGACTTTTTACTTACCGTCTCCCTTCACTCGCCACATAGATGATGGTGTCATCAGGTGACCAAAATTTGCCTAGTATGTTCCACTCATAAGTTGTTATTCAAGATAAAATTTGATTTTGCCTTTTAAGCAATGTATTAAAATATGATAATGCCCGATGGCTATTCATTTATTCTATTTTTATTTAAAATATCCATCAATGTATACAGGAAGAAGGTTCTTCAGAATATCGTTATTTGAACTATGTAGTCCTGGTGAGATCATTAAATATTTAAGACAATCTGAAAGAAACCAATTGCATTAGTCTTCAGACTTCATACTTCATACTTTGAAAACGAGCAAAATTGGTCTGAGATGCAGGATGGATTCAGCGATTTTTTTTGAATAGCTTTGAACTTCTTTTGGAATGATAAACAAATCATAATCGATTATGCAGCTTTCAACCGTTTTATTGTCAAATTTTGTAGAAATTCATAGAAATGATTGAAAAAATTCCATGTAGAATCTGGAGGACCTGTGAATATATATTCGAAATCCATTGATCCGTCCCAAATTTCGGTCAAAAGCTGTAATTAGATACTTTCGGTTTTCGAGATAAAAAATGTCTGCATGCTATTGCTCAGAATAGAGTTAAGCTGTCAAGAAATTTCACTCGATAATATAGATTCTCAGTGGAATATCAATCGTTTCTGTTAGCTTTCGATAGGTTTTATTCGTAAAAACGGTGGAGAGATGCACAATCAGTTATAATTTGGATGGTCCTTAATAATAGTTTGATTTGAATCAATAAAAAATTTTTACTGGAAAGTAGAAGAAAACAGTTATTATACTCGGTCAAAAGAACCGAGTAGGTCGAATGGTGAGCAAACGAGCGATCTCTGAGATAGGTTATCACATTATTTATAATACAAGCCCTACTCACAGCTTCAGGCTGACTCAGAGACGTGTGTGAATTGCTTTGAAGTATGTCAATTTTTCTTATAAGTTTTGGTAGTCAGAATGATGTCATCGGGCGTCCGTAGCCTTTCCAGCTCTCTCACTCAGTGTCATACCTTGCTACTTTTCATTGAACCCCTCCCCCAAATAATGGCATCATTTTTTAACGAATCTCGATGAAAATATCACGCTTCATTGATACCGGTTACCAGAAATTGATAGAAGAAAAAACGGTGTGGTTTCATTTACGATGGGTATGTGATAAAGTCAGTTTCGAATCAACATTAAACAAAATTTATACATTTCAATCTCATTTAGCACGTGAGTAGATTTTCTTTTCATCCTATTTCAATTATAGATAAAATTATAGATAAAAGTCACGACTATCTGTAAACAGCAAAACGGCATGACGTTCAAACGAGATATCTTTGCATTTTCAGTCGTCAGAGAGTAACTTCAAGGACACTCTGATGTAGCGTGTTCAGTTTAAAAATTTGATAGTCATGGTTGACGTGACTCTCATAGGTACATTCTAGTTAACACAATAATGAGTGACAATAGAAATGATTTCATTCGCACAAAATCACTTCTACAATGCTCACATTTGACTGTGAATCATAGTAGTGAAGGACACATATTTATGTCGCAGAAAGCTAGCAGAGAATACGGAAACTTCTAACAGAAGATATTTAAGTAGAAGAAGTACCGAAACAAACAAAAGAAAAGCTATTCGAATATCGATAAGCTCAACCAAAACCGAGATTTAGAACGCTGTACAAAGAAATCATTACGCTCACAAGTACAAAAGTCACACGATTTTTCGAATGTGACACATAACGGAAATTTTCGACAAAAGACGAGCGATTCATTCTTTTGCATAAACTGCAGTCAAATATTTGGATACTCAATACTGCCGAATCAATGTTAGTGCTTAACGTGCTTCTCATGAAGAAAAAAAAAGAAAAAAATTATTTAAATGGTTATTTTCAGAACTTTCATCAAACGAATTTCATTTTTCCAAAAAAATCAAAATCATTACGTTTCTTTCATCATTTTATAATCATTTTTATTCCATGATCTTGATTATTTGTAACACATGAAAATCCCTGCATTAGTTTCATTACTGTTTCATCACTTCATTGTATGACTTTCAGTTTTGAACAAAAATCAAAGTTATCCAATTACATAGTTTCATTCAAATTCTATTTGAATCACCAAATTTTTAAACGATTTTAGATGAGTTAACCTCATATTATATTTTAAAGTGCAAATTTTTTGATCGATGACATAAATGTAAACTACCCATGAAAAATAATTTATAAAAGTTTGCGTTGGAACGCCAACTTTTAGCAAAAAAAGCTATTGTTGCGTTTAAACGCATTCTGTTCTATTCTCAACGCGTTGAAACGCATCGTTTTTATTTGAAACACATTTTTTCAACTTACAATGTCAGCTAAAAATAACGTTTGAACGGGTGATAAGAAAATGGATTTTCCTCTCTAACAAATGCTTTCAAAAACATCATTCGAACGTGTTTAATAACTGTCTATATGCATATCTTTATCCCATCGATTTAGAGCCAAATGAATAAAATCTCGATGAACGTTACTAGTATATGACAATGTACACATGTGAACAAATAGAATGTTTTCTTTAATAAATTATAATAAGTCAATATTTAAATTTCAATCATAGATCGGTTTCTAACAAACTGAACGATGGCCAACAGTATGATAAAACTGTTTTGGTAAGAAATGTAGATAATCAGTTAAATTCAATCGAACAGCTGGATAATAAACTGATAATTGTCCTCGATATGAAAAATAATTTACTTCATTATGCCATCCACATAAGAAACGAAAAATACACGGATGACCATTTCTATATAAAAATATTGCAATATCATACATTTTTAATTGAAGTTTGTCTGAACGAGAATAAAATCCATCACGTTGATATTCTTTTTCTTGAAGTTTAATGTCCATTATAGAATTATTGAGCCTTTGAGAGAATGCCGTTTCTCGCCCACGTATATGACTAATGGTAGGTTCCACTTCAGATGCTGAAGTTCGTGTTGGATCAGGATGAGAGGCACCAATCACTGGAGCTCTTGCTTGTTTTAATAAACTGCTAATATCATTAATATGTCCTTTACCATCCATCCAAATAATCCATTTCGCTAATGGAAACATTCGTTGTCCAACAATCTTTAATGTTTCTGTTGATTTTGCAGCAACACTAAATGGTGTAGCATCAACACCTAAATCAATGAAATCCCATTTGAAATTAAAATCCATTGAATAAAGTTTTTTATAAGTATTCATTGTTCTTGTGTCAAGCAAAGCAACAAAACAAAATGATGGTAGGATGACACCTTGTACTTCAGGTAGAGGATCATAGCAGTTTGTAATACATGTAAAAATTATAGTTTGACATGTATGATTACGACTATATCGATTTCTAACTTTATCAAATACAGATGGAATGTTAAAAGCACATTTGAGTGGTTTTTGATTTGATTGTTGATATAGTTGCTCTCGATCATTAAATGAATATAAATCACTAAAAGCACAGTCAAATGATTTTGATAAACATCGATTTGGTTCATCAGTTGAAGTACGATTTGTAATGGTTTCAGACTGCATTTGAGCAAATATACCTTCGTTATAACATTGACGATTCTCATATAAATATTGTGCAAATGAACGATCACCATGTAAATAATAAAAATCATTAGAATATGTAAAATTTGATGACCGAGATGGTATTGACATGGTTAGAATACTTTCAGCTATATTCGATTGATCCCACCAAGTCGAATCTTCAATAAATTGATGAGAGTCATATTCAATTATATTTTTTAGTTCTAATGACGAAGTATTAAGTCCTAATAATGAAATAAAACCTATCAAGATTCTTTCACAATCGATTAAATTCGTTTTAATTAAATCTTCTGAATCAATAACTGTCCATTTAATAGATGGGATAGTTGTAAAATAACTTAGAAAACGGTTTATAGTATAATCAGCTTTCTTAATACTATCTTCGAGAGAATTATCAAAACTGAAAGTAAGATTAAAATTCTCTTTGAATAAATCTAATTGTTGAAATACGAGTGTTGCATTAATAGATCTTCTTTTAAAATAAATTTGATTAATATGTCCTATATTATTATTTGCTTGTTGATTAATCTTAATTGTACATTGTGATTCATCAGCTAAGTTAGCTGGCAGAGGCATGATATAAACTTGAATAAACATGTTGTTTGTCGAGTCTGAGGGAAAATAATTTTCTTCAATAATATAACAATTATTATTTAATCGAGTTATCCTAATATTTCCTAATTTTCGTGTTACTATCCATCGAATATATTTCATGATTCCAGTACCATCATAAGTCCACACGAAACTATGTATCTGTGTATATTGTGAACAGTTATGTGTGGTAGGTAATCGACGATTGACAGGTTCCCATTCAAAACAATGAGAATTAAAACTGATTTGAAGAATACGAAAAATTGATTGATGAGACTTCAAAAAAATACTGAGAAACAAACAGACTATCAGTAGCATTAGGCAAAAAACCACACGATAAATTGAAACTGTTGAGGACATCACCTAAAATCATACGAGTTTATTTTTGCTATAGATATGTAGGATAAAGCTCTTTCTTTCCCAATCTTTGATGAGATCTAAAAAACTTAATACTGGTTTTGAGAAACTTCTTTATAAATTTAATGCCTAGGCTTTATAAAACTCTTCTTTACTGAATAATTGTATACAAAAACAAGTTCATATATCATGTATGCTCAAAACATAAAAGACCTTTTCTGATCCCAATCCCATCGAAAACTTATTTTTAGTGCCGAATTTCTATCAGGCACGGTTGAAAGGGAGAAACATATCACTTCTCGGGAAATTGGTGTTGCTAAGGATTCAGCAAATACGTATTACGATATCAATGTCACAAATGACAATGGTTCTACATGAATAGATTAGAGCTAGCTGGCCTACAAGCTAAGCCCATAAATCAAACTCGATATGAAGCACATTCTGAAAATTTGACTTATCGTTTAAGAGATTATAAAACTTTCGAATATACAATACTGAATTTTACTTCCTTTGACTTTCGATGATGAATATCATTCAGAAAAATAAATGATATGCTTCGTTCGGGAATCGAACCCACAATATGTTTACTGGTTATCCGAACCAGTGCTCTAACCATTGAGCTATTGAAGCACGACTAACATATCATTTTTATTTTCTGAATGATATTAAATCATCGAAAGTCAAAGGAAGTAAAATTCAGTATTGTATACTTACATATACTCCTTTTCTATTCTTTAACAGTTATATTCACCCTCTGATAAGAGGAGAATAAAAAATCATCCTAAATTTCACTTGGTTAGAAATAGCTTCGCTATATCCAGGTGCGTCGTACACATCGTGTCGACGTTACAAATTTCGATGATTTAATATCATTCAGAAAATAAAAATGATATGTTAGTCGTGCTTCAATAGCTCAATGGTTAGAGCACTGGTCCGGATAACCAGTAAACATATCGTGGGTTCGATTCCCGAACGAAGCATATCATTTATTTTTCTGAATGATATTAATCATCGAAAGTCAAAGGAAGTAAAATTCAGTATTGTACAGTTACAATTATTTTATGTTGAAAGAAAAAAATACACATAGTTATCGTCATGTAATGTCATCAAAGTTTTATCAGAATGTCTCGATAATGAATAGTATCGTACAGATTAGAGTCTACAATTGGAACAGTCATGATTTTAAATACTGTTCTCAGTAGCTTACAATCCAGAGATAATAGAGGATCAAAAAACTAAGAGTAAACTGCCGTAATGGAACATTCTCGTTCGAGATTTGACTATGAGAAATAGTAGTAGCTGACAGATAAACAAGTAGAAAATCCTGTAGAAATAAATCGAAAATACTATTTTTCTGGAATGAAAAAAAAGTGAGAGAGGTTTATATTTTTTTATTTTTCATGAAAAACTTCCATAAAATCAAACAATCACTATTTTAACCTAATTAAAACTAATAATAAATTAACAAATTGATTCAGTTAGGCTGATTAAAAGTTAACTTTATATCTATGGTTATTAACATTTTAACTATTATTCAGTTTTGCCAACTTTAACGTTTCGAAAAGCAGTTTTAACTTCAATATCGTTTACTGAAAACCTTCTGGTATTTCTGAGCAAACACCAATGCTAATTTAATAGTGGTTTTGTAAAAGTCAGTATGATCATCGTCAGTGATCACTATATCGACTAGGGACGCAAAAGTGACGATTACTGGTCAACCGGTAATCGTTCTGTCGATAACTGGTATGGGAGCACGACGAATGTGTGAATAGACAATTGTGTGTATGGACAATTGTGTGTAAGACAATTGTGTGCAAAATGAATGTGTGTCATGTATAAATAAATATTTTAGTCAAAAAAGTGAATGACAATGAACAAAACGAAGTAGACAAAATAACAAAAAAAAATCAAGATAAACTAATCAGTAAAGAATTATAACATGAATGTATGAGCAATCGCTTTTATTTTCTNTTTTTTTCGCTTTTTCTGTTAAAAGAAACCATAAAAAAGCATTTGTGTAAACTGAGGTAGAGCAAATGTGTGAAGTAAGAGTAAGAGACGTCTAATTATAATATCACTACTCAAAATATTCTGCTAAAGCTTTTGAAGTGCAAAATAGCTATTTATTATTTTTGATAGATGAACTTGAAACAAAGAGCCCTCTTCCAAACTCAATACGAATTTCAATACTCAAATACATAAACATCGATACAAACGCAAGCTATTATTTTTTCGAGATGTTAATATGGATGTTCTGGAGCAACAGCATTGTGAAATAGAACTAGTTTCGTCTCGCTCATATTTAATAGTATTAATCTATATTAAAAATGCTTTTCAAGCACTAGCATAGCTACTTTTAGATGTTCTTCTACTTGCATTGTATTTCTCGACAACCTTTTATCACTAGAACCTTTTATCAGGATAGCAAGATTGTTAGGGAACAAGTGAATAATAAATGATAGAGGCATCTTAAACAAAAACTGAATATTGAATCTGAATAATGACGTCAATAGTAAGGAGTTCTTCGATGCGCTTATATAAATATTCACGTTTCTTAATAAAGTTTCATTGTTATGCAACTATATTCACAAAATGACTCTGCAGCCATTGGTATGATGGAAAAATGCAGAAAGGTAAAATCATAGACAACATAAATTTGAAAGCAATATATTGAATGTGACAAAGTTAGAATTAGTAAGGAGAAGTTGCCGGAATAAAGTGGTTGCAACACTCACGTTTTCGATGTTGATTAAGAGTGTGTCATGACTAGAAGACTATCATCGTTACCCTTAAACCTACACCGTGATTTGCACATTCATACCATACCCAAAATAAGTAAGACAAGACAGTTCAGCGCTGCTATCATTGATTACATGTATTCAGAAATAAGAATTGCTTGAATTTGCATCTGCGTATTTGGACTCAAGTTAAGTTGTTTCTAAACATCGATAGTTGTCTATTCGCACCAATTAAAATTTTTTGTATGTATGCATCGCTAATAAAGTTGACGTAAATTACATAAGAATTACATTGGGCATAATCAATTTTCAAATGAGCGGATATAGGCTTTTGGACAGACAAATAGACTTGGCTAGCTTACAAGCTAAAACAGAGGTCGCCTTTAATTTGACGTATATTTACTAAACAGTTCAATGAGTACGCTAGTGTACTTTACTGACAAATACATTAATAGAAATGCTTTTTCTATTTTTAGAACCAAGTACTGGATTTTGTACAGTGCTTAGCAAAATAGTCATTGAATTAGTCGAATATTTTTTGACAATGTCTAATAAATCCATAATGATTGTTGTTATATCCTCTAAGCGATGGAAAGTATGCAGTTAATATACGCTGCATTATTCTCCATGTATTTTTTTTTTTTGATAAATTTTTATAATGTTTTTCATATTTTTCCTCCTCAACATGGATAAAGAATGTATGAATAAATCTACATCAGTCAAACAGGTATTGTGAGAGGTTGGCCTACATCATATAAATATATACATTATTAGCATTCACAATTATGCAATGTGCATAATTGTAGTGTTCTACTTAGGTCAGGGTTTCTTCATTTTAAGTATACTTTCAATATGCACATGTGCTCCTTTCACTATTTTACAATGTCAACTAACTCTTTGATAAGAATTCTTCATAACCAGTATTTCCTGAATTTTGCAGAGAACCCGAGAACAAGGAAATTTTCGATCAAAGAAGTCCATGTTGTTCTTTAATTTCTTTTCATATGAAATGATGCGATCAATTTATTTGAAATATATAAAATGTCTGATTCATATCATTTATCATACAACGGATAGGTTCTGAAAATATTAACTTGACTGATAATTTTAATCTAGAGCAAGAAGACTAGCTATATCAATATTTCTGTTTCGAACATGTCGAAAGGAATATATATATCGTCTCTACAAGTTTACTGTGATGTTTTTCGTTCGATGAAATTATTCTTACTGATACTCGTCATGGTAATAGGATTTCTTTTGAAGCTCATTCACATCATAGAAGTGAATATATTAATGCATAGGAAACTTTTGGATAGTTAGTAAATTTATTTCTGTACTGGATAACGTGGGGTTTAGTTTGCATTTGGAATAGATTCAATATCTCATTGTAAGTTGATAAATGACTATATATATATTAATGATAACTTTTATTTTCCAACAAGATTAAAAAAATCGAAAACAATACATAAAAGAAGCTCTACCATATCAGTATTTTTATATTGTTTACGCACTAGACTGACAATGCCACTTCAAATTTAATAAAAAAAAGAAAAGGTTTGTTAATTTATCATTGTTATTTATGCGACAGTTGTTATAGAAATGGTGCTGGTATCAGTAATGATAGAACTACCGTAGGAGTTATTGGAATTTTGAATTCTCTTATGAATTTTAATACACTAATAGAATTCAAAAGTAAAAGAATATGCATGGTGAACAATTACAATGGATGGTCGAGTGTTTATCCTTTCAAGATGGTAATTTATGTTGATTTTGTACATTTGATGGAGACCGAGAATAAATTATGTGTAAAATATTGAAGACGAAATGTATGTTTATTTGTTTGAGGGATGCTGCTATTTGTCATTTTTTAGACTGTGATGTTTTGTTTTAAACGATAGGTTTATTCACATCAATCTTTTTTGCGTCTTGCAGAACTGTGCATTGCTATTAACAGAATTTTATTTAGCACGCAAAGATAAATTCTAAGCAGAATTTCAATTTAGATGTTGGGCTAAGTGCAGAGGATGAAACACAGCTCTGCTTGAAAATCAGAATTCTGACACAGTTCTGCTGTAAAACCAAATTTTTTGTCTTCTTCGTAGTGCTATGGAATTTTATTCGAATTCTGGCGATTCTTTAAAATTCTAAGCAGACTTTTGTTGTCCGAAAAGGATTGCATTTGATAAAGCTTGCCATTTGATGTTGAGATTTGAATTTCGACTAGACTCTGCTGTATTGTTTCAATTTTTAGTAGATTTCTGTTTCAACAGGCTTGTTTTTGTTTATCAATGGGTGTGGATCAAGAAAATTATGTTGTAATCTTCATTATATTTGATTCCTGGTCTAATATATACAGGTCTACAAAATTCTGAATTCTTCTTGATAGGCATTCTGCAGACCATTTTTATGTAATACCAGTAAATGTCATATTTTGTTGATAAACACTGACAATATTAGATGAAAGAATTTCTTCTGCAGTACCTAAGACTTGATTAATAGTTTTACCAGCTAATTCTGTGTTAATGTAGCAAGTAAATTATTAATTGTTTGAAAAACATCATCAATAACTGACATAATTAAAGGATTAAGATCGAATGAGATCATTGTTCGTGTAAAAAATTTAGCAATATTACCAAGATATACAGGTAATTCAACTTGAGCTTAACACCTATATAGAAAATAGATTCAATCGAAAATTATTTTATTCATTAATTTTATCTAAAATGGTTAATTAACTTCATTAATAACGGGTGGGCCAAAAAGCACTGCCCTCTCAGCATTTTAAAGATTTCTCCTCTATTATCTGTGTGATTAAAGCTCTGTTTATCATCAAAAGATAGCGCTTGAAATTCTCTACAAAACCATACATACCCAGACCCCAGAAACAGTTTTAGATATATTTGAAAAAATTCGTAAACAAAAGACATATACACCGCTGTAAAAAATAAATAACGGCTGTCCCATAATAAATGGCTACACTTTGCATTTCATATTTTAATCTATAAATACATTTATTACAAAAAAAAATATACCACAAGATGCAGCGTGAAAAGTTCTACAACCTACAAATTTAAGTGTTTTAATAAAAATATTTTTCGTTTTGAAAAAAGCAAAACTCTGTGCGACTAATTTTCGCTATTGTGAAAAAATCATTTTTTTTACACGAAAGAGAATTCCTTTTTCTTATTTTATCTTTTTATCTCGTAATATGTATTCTTTAAAAGAAACAAAATATACCAGAAGATGCAGCTTGAAAAGCTCTACAATTTACAAAGAACAGCTTATTTTATTTGTGTACTTTTTATGTTGAAAAAAAAAAACTCAAAATCTGTGCGATCGGTTTTCACAACGGCGAAAATTGGTCGTACAGAGTTTTGCTTTTTTTTGAAAACAAAAACTATATTATTAAAAAAAACTTTAATTTGTAGGTTGTAGAACTTTTCACGCTGCATCTTGTGGTATTTTTTTTTTTAATAAAACGTATTTATAGATTAAAATATGAAATGCAAAGTGTAGCCATTTATTATGGGACACCCGTTATTTATATTTTACAGCGGTGTGTATGTCTTTTGTTTTCGAATGTTTTCAAATATATCTGGAACTGTTTGGGGGTCTGAGTATATATGGTTTTGTAGAGAATTTCAAGCGCTATCTTTTGATGATAAACAGAGCTTTAATCACACAGATAATAGAGGAGAAATCTTTAAAATGCTGAGAGGACAGTTCTTTTTGGCTCACCCGTTAGATACATCAACATCAGCATTGAGAGAAACTGAATTTGCAATAGTGGCTGAAACACTTACTTGTGCTTTAAAATCTACAACAGATGAGATTTCATCAACACTTCAATCAAGAACATAATGCCAAACATCAGGTGGATTGCTAATATTAAAAAGTACAGCAGTACAAACCGAATTCTTATTATCCGGACATGTTGAATTGCTTGTATCTATTAATACCAAATTAGAAATAGAAATAATAATTACCAAATTAAATAAAGAATAATTGTTATAATGCTCGATTGAAGCCATATATTTTTGTAATATGAATATAAATAGCAAACTTTTATCGATATAAATGATTTAGTCCTCAATGATGTTTTCACCTTAATTGATGAGATAATAGAGTAGAAAAGCGTATATGTTTATTTTTATTGATACATATAATTATCATGCGTGAATGATTATGAGTGATCGATTTGTGTTTTATTATATTAATGAATAAAAGAATGATTGAGAACAAAAACAAGAAAAAAAAAGTTTTTCATTTAAAGGAGTTGGTTTGTTGTATTTTTAACACCTTTGATTGCTCTTGCTAGAAGAGGATTAAGATCGACTGATTGAAGTGTTCGATTGACAATATCAACAATTTTATCTAATTCTACAGCCAACTGAACTTGAGCATTAACACCTATATTACAAAACAAGCAAATTTATAAAAGAAAAATAAACAAATTTTACTCTTTTTCTTCTTACCAGGAATCTTTAATTGAACAGTTGAAATGCCAACTTAAGTGCCCGCAATAAGATTAATCAGTGATGCGACTCGAGCATCAACATTTAAGCGAGCTTGAATATGATCTACATGCAATTCAATTGTTAGTGCCGTAATGCTTGCATTAAGCCATACATCAGGTGGCAATGTTAACATTAAATGGAAGTTCTTGTGTACAAATAGATGCACTTCTTGTACAGTTGTCTGTTGATGCTTCTTGTTTCTTGATACTTTGTATAGTCAGTTGAAGAAGTATTTTGAACTAAAGGAAATTTAGATCGTGAATTTTTCTTTAATAATGAAAAGAACTGACCGGTTTGATCATCTAGAGATACTGCCAATAATAAGATACTTAACAATAGCATGCTAGACATAGTTTGATTTGATTTCTTTCGTGTTTATTTCTATCGTACAAAACTCAGATTGATGATCTGATCAAGCGTGGCATATGTTTGTTTTTCTCTCTCTTCATTTTCAATTTTTTTCTCTTCCTAACAAATACAAAGAAGAGACACCTATAACGATTATATTTACGTTATTATTCAATAAATAAAATCTGCATCATATAAATCAAAGACTTGTTATTATTATGGTCAAAAGTATATATTTATTTTAAGATTTTTCTATAAGATATTAGTACGATATTCGAACTTCTTGTTATTATTTCTGTGTAAAATGTATATGTGACGAAATTGATCGAATTTGAAAACTCTTATATTCACTATTCGATATTATCATAGATAAAGAATATGATGAGAAGTCATGATCAATCTCGGAATGTCGAACAAGGCATGCAATAATTGACCCAATTTATTACTTAGAGGAGAAAAAAATCAAATCTATAAAAAGTGATATTTTTTAGTGACAAATCATGTATTATTTTAGTCGAATTGAATATAAATACCAATAATCAACTGAAATAATTCAGTCTGAATAAAACGGCTATACTAATAAGCAATAGTCATTCTTACTGACAAAAGTCATTTTATTAAATATCATATCATATTTCAATACATGATAATAACTTTTAAAAACAATTTTAATTTAGATTTTCGTTTATTAGGATATTAAATAAAATAAAACAGTATTTAAACAGCCTTTCTAACGTTTTCTGTAAAAGGTGAACTAAAAAGAGTGCTAAAGTATATAGTGAGCTTTTCGCCTCTTGGTCTGTTTTGTACGTCGTGATAGACATCTTAGCAATACTCTATTATAGATTCTGACTTGTATAGCCTCGAAAGTTGAAGGTTTTTATTTATATTAACAAACTACTATAAAAGTCCATCAGATCAAAACTAACTGAAAAGTTCTAAGATAATATTGATCTAATTTTGTGTGAATAATTAAACAGAGTATTGATTATACGCACGCAATATCGACTTTTGTAAATTTTTTAAATTTATCTTTCTATTAGAAACTGCAATTGTTTCGTGTCTCACATTTTAACTGTACAAAGATTATGCCAGTAACTGTTGTTATTTATGTGGTCAGCTTTTAACAATACGTCCAATGATCTTTTATTATCAATGTTTAAATAAGATCATCATTTTTAAATGATTTTTAGTTGAATAAATTTTGTAAGTGTATCATAAATATGATATTGTTATCAAGTGTTAATAATACAACATTAATTATTTCCCTATCTAACGAATCACCAACATTCGGCTTATGTTTTAATTTTCGATTTTTTTCTTAATTAAATTCTTGTTGACTTGTTGGGGCAATTGTGCTATTTAGATAAATATGAATTAGTGGAATAAAGACCATTTATATTAATATTCGATGTGACATATGTCGCTCAGAGAACAATTTGCAGAAGATCATTAATAACAATGCGATCTTGTATTTGATGTAATTGAGGAAGATAAGTTTTTAGTACTAACCATAAATATTGACTCTTATTTATAATAAGCTACTTCAAGCAGACCAAAAACAACCGATTTTAAAGCATCGAATGAATTATGTTCATTTGACTTTCATTCTTTTTCATGAAAATAATCTCCATGGATTTCTCGCATACAATGAACTGTATCAAGTTCCGTAAAACTGTGAGTTATTCAGAAATTCAAAATTTTCTTAGGAACTATTCATACTGTACGTACAGAAAAATAGGCAAGAGAGAGCCAACAAAAATCGGACATTTTCAGATAGGGGAAGACCAGAGGTTGTAAAAATCTCTGCTATTTACCAACTGCTTCTTTTCACGTTGTGTACGAAGTCCGAAAGTTAATTTTTAAGATCATTGATCTACATAGGTCTAGAGAACTTACGTTAATGAACCTGCTACCGGAAACTTGACTATTACGTAATATGTAAACGTAGGATCGGTATATAACTTCATAAGATTGTTTATTGCGAGTATATATAGAATGAGATAACAACAACGATAATAGAAACAAGAGCGCCTAGTACTGAAGAGAAGACAGAAAAAAAAGTGTGAAAAATCTATATATGAGTGAATTGCAACTTTTTGGTACGAATGACATGAAAAATTGCAAGTGGAGTTAGGTATCTCCTAATTAGTACGTTTTGTTATAATCTATGTCAGTATTATACGGCTAAAGTTTCCCAACATTTTGCTGCATATTAGCCGAGATATAGCATAGACACCGTAATTTAATACAAAAACCATCAATATCTCACTGAAATTCTTTGTGGTAAAACGTTTTTATTTAATTTAAAATTTATATTTGCAATAAAAGTAGGATAACTTTCCGCAGTGAGGTCAATCAAATGGCATAAAATACTACTCATTTTAAGCCAGCTTTATTGAATATTACATAGAAAAGGTCATCCTTCTACATTTTATTGTATATTGTAAATATCTCGAGAACGATGAAAGACAAATGGCTGAAATTGCAACTACTTATGTAACTTTTAGAACTATATCTTCGGTAGAAATTTGAGCGAAAAAAAAACAAGCCATTCAAGAGTTATTCACATAGTAATTTTCAAAAAGTCGTTCTACAAAGTGAGTAAAACTCGAATTTTTAGGAAATAATGGATTTTTTTAATCGAAAAGGAAATTTATTCAGAAGAATTTTTTTAATCATTTTGTTGGTAATTCAGTTGTCTTTCTTTTGCCTAGCTCCGCTTTTCTTCCACTTTCACACAGACGAAGAAAATTGAACGAGAAGGTCGTTCTACACAAAAATGGCAAAGCGTCTGTACTTAAATATATGGAAAAAATGGATGTAAACAGAAAAAGAAAAACATACAAAAGTATATATATTAGATAGAGCATTTCAAGCTGTACATAACTGACTATTAATTATATTCCTTCTGTTTTCTCTCATACTTAGAAAATATCCTTCTCTTAGTACACCTACATATAAAATAAGATTTTTTTTATAATATAGGCCTGATAACTCAGCGACTGTCGGAGCTAGAAAGCTGAAAATTTGTACGGCAGTGAGACGCTCAAAAATCAGTAACATTTGTTGCAATTCACTCATATAAATACAAAAATTAAAATGACTCATTAAGTATGTATCTCGAAAGGGCATTCGACTATATAAAAAAAGGTTGAATGGTTCCTAATTTACTAATAAAATATGTGTGCTACATGTTTAATATTTTTCACTGATAATTGTATACTATTTTAGTATATTTTTCTAATAAATATAAAAACCGAAATATGACTCGACCTTAAATCAGAAAAAATAAAGCGAAGATAAAATTTATTGGAAAGTGTAACTTTAGTTATATTCAATAATATCTTGATGTTTACTATTGTTTCCAATAAGAATCACTACAAGAATTGGTCTTAGCCGTATTAATACGATTTTTTACAAAGCGACTATGGGTACTGATAGTAGACAAAAGCATATGGACTTGTGTGGTTAAAGTTCGCCTGTTCTTGACAAGAAAAATGAAAATATTTCAACGTGATGAAGAATATATCAAATCATGTGTCATTCAAAGTGAAAAAAGATAAAAACTGCAAATATATTAACTAAATTTTTTTGATAGTAGATCACTTAAGACTGTTAACAGACTAGGCTTTAAAAATTTCTTCCAACAGATTTTTGCTGTTGTTCGTACTCTACTAGAATCATCTTCTATTAGTGCATCTAATCTAATTAAAACTAGATTTTATATGAAGACTATGAGTTAATCCTTAAAACGTATTATATGAAGCAACAGAGACAGGACCGCTACGGACGAGTGCTAGTAAAAAAAATTAAAACTAATCGCCACATAACAACTTCCATTGCTTGTTATGACTGTCTGTCATAACAGCTGCGTCGATCTCTATTCACAATGCTGTATATTATTTATTTGTTTTATCCCAACAGCATTATCTTTTATTAATTTAAAGATAATGGCGAGTGTCATAAATGAGACTGCGATCACGAGACTTTCATTAATAATTAAAAGCAAAATATTATCAAAAGCGTTTGTGATAATTTCAAAAGTCGGATTTTGTAATTCATAAAGAGAAATTTAGTGTTAAGACTGGAGAAATTTAGTTACAGCATCATGATTCTATATATGTCTTAGAAAACCAGCTACTTCTTTTGAGGTTTTATTATTAGTACGATTAAATAAGAAACTTTAGAATAACATGTACAAGTCACAATTCAAAATTTCAACTTCCAAAAATTAATCATATTTTCGGACCTTCTTAATGTCATTATATTCTCTAAAATGATTAAAATACTTTTGGAATAATCATATGTGGTACTCTTTGTCTATATTCTTCATATTTCATGCCAAAGTGTTTTTTTAATACTTGTTCTTCAATATAAATGCGATAATAAAAAACTAAAGAAATTGGTATCATCGCAATAAATAAACTTAGCCAATTATTTAGAAGTAAAGCCAAAGCAAGAAAATACAATAATGAACCTGCATATGATGGATGTCGCATTTTTTCATACCATCCAAAATCAATTAATTGTTGATTGTCATCTGTCCGAATAACAGTTGTAAACCATTCACCTAATTGTTCTATTGATTGTTTTCGTAATGAAACGCCCATTAGATATAAAATGATATTAAATGAAATCCATAAATAATATATAAAAGAATTCTTATCAATTATTTTTGATCCATAACCTAAACGAGCACAACTTACGGAAAATACTTGTGAACAGGTTACAATTAACCAGATAAAGATAAATGTTTCACGATCGTTTGATGCAGTTTTTGGTGATGTTGATGATGAATATTTTACCTTTGAAATATATATCTCCATTAAACAACATGGAACACAAAATAAAAGATATAAAATGCCATCTAAATCCATTTTTCTTTATTGCAAAACTAGAAAAGTTATTATGTGCGATGTCAATGATAGCAAATTTTACGAAAATCCATATTTTACCGAACCTATAGTAAAGAGATAACGAAGAAAAAAGCTATTGGATTTATAATAAACCAGCCGAGCTCATTAAAATCTACTTTGTTATACATGTCTTTTATATATATGATAATAAAGGTATTATGAAATTATTCAATATAATGATTTCAATAGAGTCAATATTGATAAAACAAACGAGTCTTATGCTTGTGTTGCTTTTCATCGTCTGCATGTTCATTATTCTAAAGTTTTCATTTTCTTGTGCGCATATGCATTACTGGCTGCATATGAGCTTATTAAATATATCATGACAATATTATCCATGTTTGTTGTTTCTTCTTTATATTGAACTACGAATTTTTCATGTCTTTCATTGTTCTTAGCGAACATTTCAAAACATCAAGAAAAGGTTTACATTAACTAAGTTGTCATGACAGTGTTAATGCAGGATTCTATACATCTTAGTCTTTTTTCTTTTGTCATACAAACTTGATCACAATAGGATATAGTACTTACCAAGAACCATATCCCGATGTTGGCGATCGTTCGATTTTATATTATAGCTATGAATACGTCTTGATGAGACTAAGAAAAGTTTCAAAAGATTCAAGTTATTAGCCTACTGATGACAAGTTATAACCATTTTAACAATGGTGTTTGTTTAGTGTGAATGTGGTTGAAGAGAACACTTATCTCCAAATCCCACATCCGCATGCCCATAGCGTTATGTGCAACTTATAGAGCTTGTCAAATTGAATGTTTTGCACTTAGACACTCAATAGAACCTATCAAAATGAAATCTTGAATTCATACTTTGACAGTATTTATGATCACAATCAAATGCAGATACCAATAAAAATAAGTTTTCTTCTATTTTAAATAAATTTAAGCTTTCATCTTGAGTGAAACGAAAAGAAATTAAAAACCTGCAAATAAACTTATTATGTGTCTCGAATGGTAACTTAAAGAGTACTTCCCTTGTTTTTGATCATGTCTAATTCTCGGAAAGAGTACAACTGATCTACATGGAACTTTTTCTGCAGATAGAGCATCGAAAATAAGGAGATATGTTCAAATCAATAACTTTAAGCAAGGCTTTCACAATTTTTTCGCGAAAATCTACTTTTATATAGAACCACATCAGGACTGCTAACGATCTCCTTCCCTTTAACTTTGTCCAAACGGGCTAAAATTTCGATCACAGATTCTTGGAGGTATTCTCCAGCTATGAAATCGGCCACTTTCATTTTTAACCTTACTATCCGGATTTATTGAGCCATGAACGCCAGCATCCTGGTTTTAGATTTGAACCTTTACGCACTTCTTATGAAAAAAACAAGAAACTGGGATTCTTGAAAAATCTTAAATTCACCTCTGAGATATAATCGAAGGAATCTCAAAAACCAGCTTTCAGTCTGATCGAACAAGGATCGAGGGAAGTCGTAAGCAAGTTGATATCGTCCTATGGAAAAATACCTTCAGAAGTGCATCGTATTTTTTCAAAGCTACTTATGAAAAAACTAAATATGATCAGCATTATATTATTATATATAATCTGCTTTCATTGACATTCGCTTTTTATCTTCTATTACAAGACATTTTGTCTTTTTTCTAGTAACATGACTATCATTGTTGATTTACATTGCATTAGTCTTTCATAATTTGTTTGTATAGTCATGATTTAATCGTTTTCTTTCGATCATCACGCTAGGAAAAAGTGCTCGTATTGATAGAAGAAAAGCTGTTAATGTTGATAAGCCATTCAGTTATGACTATTACGATCGTGTATTTATAACTTATACAATATAATTAAATATTTCCTCTATCGGTTTTTCTTCAAATCATTTAAGCCATCCAGTATTTTTACTATACTAAAGTTTAAAAGAAGCTCAATCAATATTGGAATATGTATCTTCTTTTCCTTTGTCACATCAACACACATTGTTTTTTGTTTTTGCAAACAGAGAAAGAAAAAAAAAAGAAAAGATAAAGTTAAACTTCATATACACAACAATAGAGAACAGCTACGTACATACAGAAAAAAAGAATAAGAGACTCTTTGGTTTTTTTCCGTTTCTTTACAAATAGTATAACATATTTTAACAAAAAGACAAGAGAAAAAAAAGGCGAGATATACAGAGATACAAAAAAAAAAGTATATGTAGCTGTAAAATTCAAGCACGAACAGATTAGGACGTTCTATAAAAAAAAAAAAAATCCAATAAGATGAATCATCAATAAATCGTAAAACTTACTCTGATGTATCCATGCCATCTGGTTTACCTTCTGTTGCTGTAGATTCATTTGCCGGTGTCGCTGACGTTTCATTCTCATCTCCTACTGTCGTAGTTTTCGTTACTTCTTCAATTGTTGTTGTTATAATTGCTTCTGAGCCTGTTGGTGCTATTTCATTAGATGTTCCATTTTCTGTTGTTTCAGTAGTGGTTGATGGTAAAGCAACAGTTGATTCAGTAACTTTTGTTATTTCAGTAACAGTTGTACCGTTGACTGTTTCCGAGCTAGTTTTACGTTTATTTGCAACTGGTTTAAAATTTGTTTGATTACGTCGATTATCACCATCTTCATCTTCTGAATCAGATAATTCACGTTCATCAACTATACGACAATCACTTTGTATTTGTGATATACGCTAAAATAAAATTCATTTTATTAAATTTTTCTTCTATTCATAAAATTAATTTACTTTATCAGGATCATTATCTTTATCTTCATCAACAATACGATCAACATCCATAGCATCATCTGGTATAGCTATAACACAAAATTAATTAATAAAAAAACAACGACAATAATGTTCCATCAATTAAGTCTTACGTTGCATTTGAACACCTGGTACATGCGGTAGCATTCGAAGATTATCAAAAAGTTTAACTCTATTTAAATCAATTTCAAAATAAAAAAAATCTTTTCATTAAATATTTACTTGATTTTATCTAAATATTCCGAACTATTTTGATTAGGCATATTGGATGGACTTATATGCAATTTAAAATCTGGTCCATAATACTCAAAATAATCATTATAAGGCAATTCTATAAACAAAAAGAAAAAACAAAATTGTTCAACATATATTATTCACTAATAGAAATTACCATTTGGAATTTCTTGATTAAGTGCAATTGATGTTTCATATGTCCAAGCACGAGCAACATTACGAATTGTATAACCACCACCACCAACGAGTAATAAAGGCAAATTAAAACCTTTAATAAATTCTACACATTTACCATGGCCTAAGAGAGAAATCTTTTTTTGCTTTTATTCATCACCCAAAAAAACAAACAAACCTTTAAGTGTTAAATTAAAACAACCAAGACGATCACCCGTTAATGAATCAGCACCACATTGAAGAACAATAGCATTTGGTTGATATGATTCCATTACTTTTGTCATAACAGGTTTAAATATGGTTTCATAGGAATCATCATCGATCCCATCACGTAATGGAAAATTAACAGCATAATATTTGCCGCGACCAGCTCCAATATCCTAAAGTATAATTCATTTAGTCTCAAAGATAGATACCGTTGCTTCAAAGATTGATCATCGAGATTTCATTTCGATCTTTTCCGCTATACCTTGCAGAAGGAATTGAAATAGTGACTTGCATAGAAAAAAATGTTTTTAATAAGGATTTCAAGAAAATGAAATCTCCATAGCGCTTCCAAAATCTTTAGAAGAGCCAACGAATAGTTTGCCTGCATTCACAGCCCGAATGCACAGACTTCTACTCATGACATAGAGTAACCAATTGTCTACCAAATGAGATGTCTTCGAGGTCTCCACAACATTTTGAGTTTCTAAGGGAAAATGAACAACAAGGACGTTTGGACTTCTCGCAAAACTCATGTGATTCAGTCAAAAAATGTAAGTGAGGTCGAAGATGCCATTTTGTAGGAAATTAGCAGCGATGTTATGTAATCAAAAAGAGGTTTTATATTCGATTTCTGCGTGCTTAAAAACAAGGTTTCGAGTTTTCTACGGATTCCAAAAATATTAGCAATATTAGTTAAGATTATATCCTCCTCAAATCTTCGTTGAAAAAAATGCTCTATATTTAAGCCACAACTTTGATTCTTTATACGAGTCACCATTACGGCAAATGGCGAAATTAAATCAATATCATCAACTTTTCGAGTCAGCATATATGAAGATATGATATATTTGAAGAATAAAAACCAAACAATCCAAAATCAATTTGTTTGTTACATTTTTTTCCAATGATTAACTTGGTTATTTTTTCTTCCGCCTTAACGTGATTCATCTACGATACTCAATGTTTGAAAATAGAAACAGCTAATTCCATGAAATTCAAATAGATGATTTTCTGATGAGATCAATTTGAACGAAGATATCAATCATAAAAATATTCTGTCATTTGCAAAGCTTTTCAGAGATTCTAGCGATCTCACTATTTAATGTATTAGTGTTAGATTTAAATATTCATAAGCCTAAATGGAACAATATGCATGAATCGTTCTTAAGAATCTCTCGGACTTTATTTGACTGATAGGTTACACGAAAGTGAAGTGTGGGCAAAAAGTTTAGCACATGTATTTTTGAGATAGTCTTAATGACATATTAATTCTAAGTTGTGAATATCTCATTGTTATATTGACAGAGACATGCAATGGTCATTAGAAGATGTTAAAAATTTCCGCCAATATACATGCTTCCTCTGTGACATAATGAATTTATTCATTTTTGTCGAAACATTCAGGATCTACTAAAGAACATTGGATGTTCCTATCGATACCTTGCTCAGATACTAATAACTCAGAATAGCTACCACAATTTCAGACAAAAGATACAAGAGAACTTCTTTTCCGATATTTTCTAATCTCACTGAGGTCTATTTATTCCTAACACACAAATCGGTTCAATGTAGATTCGTCACTTAGAAGCATACACTCGTAAAAAAAACGAAGAAAAAAAATAACTGAAAGATTATTACCAGGAGACTTTGTTCGCAAAAGATTCCCTAAAACAACTAAGATCTTCAAATCTTATTGTTATAAATGCACTCAGAAATGTTTGGAAAAAAGCTTCATCCAACGATGCATACTTTTCTTGACAAAATACAACATTCCCGAGATTTCCACAACCTTTTTTCATAGTTTCAAGATCTTTCTATGCTTGACATTTCAGCGTCTTCCATAAAATTCAACGACATTTGTTAAAAAAACAATCGTACAAAGCTCCAAAATATTTTCTTTCTCTTAACAATGTTTACGCTAAATATTTCAGACAACTAATCACCTCAGGAATTTCCTTGAAAAAACATACTTTTGATAATTCTCTCGTCACTAATAAAATTGCTAGTCCTTTCTCTCCGAATAAATTATTTCAAAACATCAACATCCTTAACTATTTAGTCTCACTTTTATAGATAGGACTTCTATCAACATGCTTTTTTATCGACACCTCCTAAGTGAGCTGTAATCATATAGAAATAGTGCTAGTGTCACTAGAGAATCTTGAGGATACCAATAGGAGTGTCCTGAGGGAGTGACTCGCCAATATAGAAAAATTTTCGCTTTTTTTTCAGCTGAATTCCAATGTTTTCTTGTTTATCAATTCTGAAAAAAAGCTCAACTTCTCCTGCTCCTACACTTTCGGTCAACTTGAGCACAAGTCTTCCCATTGTCTCTTAAGCGATCCATCTGCTTCTCCTGAGAACTTGGAAATATCTCTCGATACAAAAGTTATAATTGACAAAAAAAACTTACTCGTAAATCACCAGTACCCGGAAAATATTCTCCGAATTTGTGAAACGATACCGTCATAACTCTATCTGTTGTATAAAAAGCTTCTTCAACTCCATCACCATGATGAATATCAATATCAATATAAAGTACGCGTTGATGATATCTTAAAAAGAGAGTTGAAAATTTTTTTTTTATTCATTCATTTGAAAAGAATCTACTTGAGTAATTCAAGAATAGCTAAAACAATATCATTGATATAACAAAATCCAGATGCTTCAGATTTTTTAGCATGATGAAGACCACCAGCCCAATTTATAGCTATATCAGTTAACTTTCGATTAAGTTTAACGGCACCAGCTAATGAACCACCAGCTGATATTTGACAAAATTCATAAAGACCTTCAAATACTGGACAATCTTCACCAACATTAAATCTTTGCATTTGTTTATTAAAATCAAGAATATTATCCGGTCGAATATTTTGAATAAATTTCACATATTCATCACTATGAAAACGTGTCATTTCATCACATATGGCTTTGTGTGGACGCTTAAAATAAGAAATAAATTTCCAGTAAACAAATATATTAAAGATTATTTTCGAATTGATATACATACATAAACTTCCATTTTACGATAAAGTCCATAATTAAGAATTAAATTATGTGTCATACGTATACGATGTGGTTTCATTGGATGGCCTTGTCTATTTAAAAACGAGATTGAATTAAACAGAGAATAGTCTTTTTTTTTTCTTCAATTACCCGTAATAATAATTGCCTACATCAAAATCATAATAATAAGAGACCTTTTTACGACTATGAGGACCAACAGTTGCTTGTGTTGTGGACATTTCCTTTTTTTTAATTAGATCTGAATATAGGAGAGTGGTATATTTCGTTTTAAATGAAAGGAAAAGAGATATTCATCGATGATAATAACAAAGAAAGAGAAATGACTGAAAGTGACCACCGAGAGAGTGGACGATTGGAATAATGAATAAACAAATATCAATTGCTTTATATTGATTGGTGTAAATAGAAGAAAGGAATGTGAAAATCTGCAATGTTTGAAAAGAAAAAATAAAAACTTTTATTCTATTTTATTGAAAAAATATTCAATCAATATGAATTTATTTCAGATACTTCTTACAGTGACATCTCCCTAGTAAATTACAATTCATTTGAAAGATAGTCCAATCAAATGATTAACAGATAATGGCACACACGCACACGTCTAACATGTATATGGTCACATATAGATGATTCATCACAGCAATAGTGGACTAGTGATCTATTAATGCATTTAAGATGAAAATCATTTTGAAAAGGTGGTATTTACACCTTATCAAATACTTCAATGATATAGATTATTGATGATATAATACATTTTTTTGATCAACTGAAACTAGTGTAAGAGTTTTAAGGACATCTCGCATTTTCACTGTTCACAAATAAAATCAGTTGTATTCTTGTTAAAATGTCTCTGTAATGTAGCGCTATCCTTTGCATAAAACACATTTTCAGCTAAAAATAAAATATGTAGTTGAACATACCTTTTCATTTAATGCATTTCTATCGGAATTTCATTATTTGACAGTCTCTTCAAATCCAGATGTCGCCTTGCTAAGTATATTCGACATTGATTTGTATTTCTCACTACCTTTTATATCGTCAGATCATTTACTAATATATACGGGTAAACAGAAGACTTGATGAAACAGCGATTTAACATTGAAATGTTGATAAATGAGTAGTTTTATCAGAAAATTATGTTCTCATATTAAAAAGATATAGATTCTCGTATAAACCGACGATAAAGAATGAAATGAATGCATACTAGGAACTTCTTAAACTAGAAGTTATTGAATTTTGAAAAATCTTATCAATAAACTGTTTGACTTAATATTATATGAGTGTATATAATTTTGAATCTTCGTGATATTAATTAAATTAACTTTAGTATAAAATGATATTTCCTTGTTTGTGTAAATTATTTTCAGATGTTTACTGCTGAAGAACGTCGTCAACGCATTTTGGCTAATGCAACAGCGCGTCTTGATAAACTTCGACAAGTAAATCGAGATGAGAACTCGTCTGATACTCCACCAATGGTGTCAGTATCTTCACCAGCTCCAGTTGAACTTTTAAGAAAACCAAACGAAGAAAGCAGTCCTCCAATTATTTCTATTGCTGATAATAATCAATCTCAACAAACTGCATCATCATTGTTTTCAACAATTACTTCAGCAATGAATATATGTAATTCTTTTACATCATCATCATCAACAGCAACAACAACACTTGAAAATACCAAAGAAATGATTATAGTTGATAAACAACATATTCTCGTATTTATACTTGGAATTTTAGTTGGACTTCTCTATTCATTTTATATATCTGCTCAATCAAATTTTTTCTTTCTTGTGTTCTTTACATGTTGCGTGTGCATATTAACATCACGTTATTATACAATGCAAATGAAACATCGTACAAATATATTAATTACGACAGCAATGTTATCAGGGTTTAAACCAGATTTAATGAAAAACTTAAGTCTTGTTTATACTCTTGCATATGATGCTTGGATTATATTTGCATTTTATTTTGTTTCTTTTTGTTTAACACATGTCATATGTTCTTTATTTTGAAAAAAAAGCTCGAATAAACTTTAACGTATTCTTGAAGATTCAAATATATTAAGAATGAATCAGTTTATTTATTGCAAATCAATTGGAAAATTATTGTATTTTTCTTTTTGAGATATATATATATTATTAATCTCAGCTGGGGAAATTAGAAATCGTCATATATTATGAATAAACAAAACGCACTGTGCTCAACCATTTAGTTAAAAGTAATGTTCTTTGAGAGTTGTAATAGATTACATAATGGAATAATTATCTGTAGAAAACGGCACCTCATGTTTTGAATTAGAATATATTCATTAGGAAAATTGACTGTGATATTATATTGATTGATGTTTTCGGGATATTATTAAAGAAGACAATCGATTCTCATTTATATTTGGAAAATACTAACTGAGAATCGAAGAATTAATCTTATTCTATCATTTTTCATCCTCTGGCTGCTGTTGAACAATTGATATCAATTCATAGTCACGACACAAAAGTAAAACATTACCAATGCATAAGATCATAAGAATTGTATAATAGACAATTTATAAGGCTGTAAACATTAGTGGTGAAACAAAGAATCATAGTGAAGTCGATTAAATTCTAAATTACATCTCATATCTTTAAGTATTTTTAGAGAATTAATCATTCTAATTAAAGAATACGATTATAAGTTGTAGTGCTACAGGAGGCTGAACCATTTCCTCAAATTTTCTGAATTTCGAAAAATTTGTACAGCTGCTGATAATATACTACAGTGATTTTACATTCACTTCGACTTCTCCGTTCGAGGAGGTCTAATGCAAGAATATAGCTGAAATTTTTGAAGCATAAATAAACTGTGAGGACTATGCCTTTCTGAAACGAAAAAAATCGAACTCGAAAAATTTCTCGAAACCTTCTATAGATTCGGATTCCTGAATCCCGAAAAATCTTTTGTCTATTTTCTGAAAACCCAGTTACAGTACATTAGAGCTCCGTAGAAACGGTTTACTTCCGCTCTGTTTCCGTTCTCGCAGAAAAACTATGGAATCAGGAGCAATAAGAAAAATGTCTATTCCAACAATCTTTAAAATTTTTTATCTGTTGATAATGTACTGGAGTTTACAGTTCTTGTCAAGTTTTCAACTTGTATGGATTCCGTATCAACAAAAAAATAAGTGAGTATTGGAGAATGCGAAAAGACAAGTCGATGAACTATATGAAATGCAACCTCATGTGATGCCACTGTATCACAGTTAAATTTCCTCAGCCGAAGGAAATTGAATGAGAATAGTAATTTCCTTTAAGCCTTACGAAATTGGAAAGAAAAATATTTTTTTTTTGGAACTAAAAACGGAAGTTAAAGAAAGCTATTATTACAAGACTACATTCAACTTGGAAATACATTTCATCAAACTATTTACATGAATAATATATAGGTTGTCATATACAAGTCAAGATATTTCAAGAATATTCAAAATTTCATCAAAAACAATAAATCGAAACACAAGTCACATCATTCCTACAATTACGTATTTAAAAAAATGAATTGCAAATTGTGTGATCTAAAGTCTGCTGTTATAGTTATGTACCGAGCAGGTGTTAGTTTTCCATCGAAAAATCTTTTCACTTGCATATTCAAGTTTAATGCTCTCATTTTCCAAAATATTAGAATGAAAGTCATATTCACACAATCAATCTAAATTTTTCACTTTTGTAAGTCTGGATTTAATACAACAATCCATTTATTTCTTTTAGTTTGAAAAGTTAAATCTATACATGTTATACATTTTATTCCATAACAAAAAAAATGATAGTAAATACATATTAGCATTTAGCATATACACGGGCATCATACAGTATCATATATGATTTATCATTTGATAAAAAGTCATAAATGAAAACGTTTTGCAGTTACTACTAGTAGATCAACTTCTATGAAGCAATAGTAGGGGGGAAAAAGTGAGATTATGCTCACAGAAATGTGATAATGTCACAGTTTATTATTAAGGCGTTGGCATGAACGCTACCACTGCACAAGCTGCCGAGCATTTGCCGAAGGCAACATTGCAAGCCAATATGGCTGGTGCTGTGCCAATACCAGCAGTAATAGTACCGAACACAGCGCCAGCTGCCGCATAACATGCAACGACGACCGCCGCACATCCGGTTTGACAAATACCATAAGTGGCTGGACCAGCTTAAATGCATGATGCCATAAAGATAATAATACATAAAAGTATCGATAAAAATTTCATTGTTTTAGTCGATAATATATCTGAAAATTAAAAGAAACAATAAATAGCAACGATTTTCTAGTAATGAGAATTAACAAATATCTCTTCATTGCAGCCAACCAGGCATATTGTTAGCGTTCTCTCTTCTCTCTATGTGTGGTTCGATAGAGATATATGTATTCGTATGTCCTTGATGTACGTGGACTACTTTATTTCGTAAGGAAAAGTAACAACTGTTTTTTATAACGATATAAAAGAATACATATATCATGAGAAGAACGAGAAGAACGAAAAGAACNAGAGATATATGTATTCGTATGTCCTTGATGTACGTGGACTACTTTATTTCGTAAGGAAAAGTAACAACTGTTTTTTATAACGATATAAAAGAATACATATATCATGAGAAGAACGAGAAGAACGAAAAGAACGAATACAAGATCAAAGAGAGACGAAAGAGCGTAGAGGATAACACTAATATAGAGAATGTGTATACAGGCGACATCACTGTAACACATATGAAAACCGTTATCCTTATCTACTTTTTCTTCTTGTGAATAAAATCAATATTGTAAAGTAGGACATGAGTATTTATAGTGCTTGAATATGTAAAATAATAGATAGTGTCGGTGATGAAGAATGAAAAATAAATGACGTAATTATGATAAAATTTTATTTTTCCCTAAGTTTTTACCCACTGAAAACTAAATGCACAAAAACATACAAAAGTCACATGTCGCTTTAAACCATTCCTACGAGAAAATAACGTAATAAACTTTTAGTGAAAAATTTATTCTATGTACGAGAGTAAAATCTTATGTGAGAAAAATGAAAAAATATCAATAAATTTAGTCTGTTACATGTCAAATGATACTAAACAACAGCACTTTATCCAACAATCTAATTTCTTATTTACATATTCAATACATCCTTCACTGCCAAATTTAGTTTTTAAAAGGTTTTTCTAGTCGAATAAATACATACTATAATTAAAATTATATGCTCGGATCTTATTTACTTTTTCTGCAAGCTTTCACTTGATTAAATGTAATCGAGGAAAAATGTTTTGAGTTTATTACTAATAGAGCAAACGTGAAATTTTGTTCATAAACATTCGTTGATGTCACAGTTTAGTATTAGTGTTGACACTACTGCTACAGCTACTGAAAATTTGCCAAATGCAACATTATACGTCACTACAGCTGCTGATGTATTAGCTTCAGCACTAATAGTACTGATTGCTATAAAGCAAGCAAGCAACAACGATGCCTGCGTATTCGGCTTGGCACACACCATAACTTGCTTGACCAGCTTCGATATATGAAACGATCAAAACTATTTAAATAAGAAATATTGCTGTATTTTTTTTTTCATCACGACACAAGTAGAGTATACTGAGTAAAAAGCAATCGTACAGAAAGAAAAACATGTGATATCTCGTCTAGAGAACCGTCTGGAAGCTGATAAGGTAAGAAAAGAGAAAACAAATATTAGGCAAGAAGAGAGAGGATACTTATCCGATAAAATCATCGATCGGAGAAAAAATAAAACGGGGAGAAATAGTTCTATCGTTTTCTCATGTAACTTAAACCATATTCATTACTTATTTTACCTATTGATGAGTACTAAAGATTCAGTAGAATCTAGTTTCTGTTTAATTTTGATTCAATCATCGCCAGGATTAATTGATCTTCATTATTCATTAACTCATAAGCATTTTCATTAAAATTCATAGAAAATATTTGGTCAACGAAACATGCCCAAAACGTTCATGCATATCTACCAACATTCTATTAATTTCATCGAATGACAATAATGATGGTGAATATTTTTGAGTAGACGTATGAGTATAAGATATTGAAAGAAGTTGTTCTAATATTAATGATAATATTCATCTATATGTCTTTCCTCAGAGAATTACTAGACATGTTGTTTGCATTAAAATAGCTATCATTATGCTCTAATATATTTATCTTATCGAGAATATGATGATAATCAATATATATGTCATCTATCACATTCGTTAGTTATTTTCCTCTTTTTATCTATTCTCATTCATATAAAAATGAAAAGATAGAGTAATTCTCAAATTGATTACGTACCAAAACTACCAATAGGACACTTTTTTCTAGCCTGCCATGACCAAATCAAGCCGATTGATCTTTCTGACTTTTCGATTACACTTAAATCTATAATTACTTTTCATTAGTGTATCATCCCAGTTTCGGTTGTTCGCGTATTTTATTTCTGTAAAGATAAAATAATAACAAATCCTTGTACCCAATAGAAAATTAAAAGCAAGAGACACTTGTCATAAATACTTTTCATACGAGAAAGATTTGAATTAATCCAATATTTTTTTTTAATTGTATCAGTACTGTTTGGCATAATCGAAAAAGCTAATCATAATAGCAAAACTAACAAATAAATTAAGTATACAATGAAGAGATAACAGAAAGTGTACAAGGAATATATTAACAAGCGTATTTACATGTGATAATCCATTTTCGCAACAACGCAATCGCAAAATTTACTATTTAATTGTTTTGGATCTAAACAAATTCTTCTGTCAGTCAATATAAATCCTTGGACACTAAATTAACGTTTGATTCAAGTATTTGTTGTTGGAATCGATGAACTTGTCACAGTACTCTCGAATAATAATGTAATGCATCAACGTTGGACTTCGAAAACGTAAGAGTCAAACCAAAATTTTTGGTGTGAGCGTGAAATAGGTCAAATATTATATGAACAGATCAGATCAGGTTGCCAGGTCTGTCACTTGCTAGCTTTGTCCATTTTTTTCCCAATATGATGAAAACCTTTAAGTAATTTTTTGAAGTCTTTATAAATCAAAAGATAATTGAGAAATTATTTTTTTGTTTGAATTTTAGAGAATTTATTTCATAAGTAAATTATTATCATAATTAAAAGAAACAAACTATATTTGGAAAAGAAAATTTTTCTTTCTTTTTTTTTACATTGTTTTAGCAAAAGTACGATACTAGAAGAAGCTAGTTTTTGTTCACTACGTAAAGAACAAGTTTGCGTTTTGATGACATTCTATATTTCATATAATAAAGTTCATTAAAATCAGATTAAACATAGCTTTGCGTGTCTTTGGACACTGATTTTTTTCAATTACTAAGTAATTGCTTTATATATAAAAACAAAATACATGTTTATTCATTGTGAAATGTATTGTTTATTGTATGTGTTCGATAAAACGTATTACATCAGAACTCGTATAGTACATAAAAACTAATTAATGCCTTATTTGAAATATATTATTCACTTCAATAATTAAATTACTGATTTAATAAACTAATGTGAACTGTTTCGTTCAAACTCAAGTTTTAATATGTGTTAACAAATTAACATTTAATTAAATTTGTAGAAAAATATGTTATGAAATTTAGAAATCAAAACACACATTTTGTTCATTATATTAACTAAATAAAGATACTATATTGGTTAGATCGAAAGATTTCTGTCAGTTTTTTCTTGTTCGAGAAATTGTCTTCGGTTCGATCGTTAACATGGATTCAACGTAAATATGAAAATGTGAGCAAATTAAAATCTACATAAACAGTTATTTATAAATTATATTCTTTATTCTTTTTTGATTCTGAATAACACCAAATAAATGTTCTATTTATGTTTAATCTATGAACAGTAATAAACATTAAAAATGTTGAAATGAAAGTAATGATTTCTCATGAGCAATGCTCTTCATGATCCGCTAGCAGTCATAAAAAGAAACCCGAGAATAAAAATGTGCATATGGTTCAAATATGAATTTTTCATATGCTAGGACGAAAACAAATACGAATATTGCATTTTTGATATTAATTTTTCATATAAACTATTTTTTAAAATTACTAACTATATAATGGATGGAACTGAATGAAAGAACAGTGAGAGATTGCGTCATTTGTAATTTCTTTTCTCGTGAAATTTGAAAATCTCATATTGTGGACTAATGCGCATTTCTTCTGTATTTTCTTCTTATGATTGTCCATAGATCAAGAAAAACACTATTCATGGAAAATCATCTTTTTGATTGAACTATTTCCACTATCCATTATTGTTGGTAGAATCGACTCCGATGTGTTTTATTTACTGAGATTATCACAAATTGATTTGAAGTGTTCGTGGGACATCGAGCGTTGTACAGATGCCTTAAATTCTTTAGATTTAGGAAAATTTAGCAACTCATATTCCCCTCTTTTCTCATGCTAAAATTTTCAACGTCATTGTAGTTGTGTTTGACGAATTAGCAGCTAGTCGCACACCAACACCAGTCTAATTATTGCAGTTGTATTTTCTGACATCTAGTCTCTCCGTTAAATGCGATATCTATGAAATGAAACTTTTAATCTAGAGATATTTTATGCATAGGCTGTGCTTTCTCATGTAGAAAATCTGCAATTAGGGTCCGGAAAATATTTCTGCTGTTAAATAATTCTTGAACACTCTGTGACACTTCGATATTTTTAGACCAACATTTCAGAACTTTGCAAAGACTAATAGAAAGACCTAAATGAGCTAAGTCTTAGATAAAACCCAACATCTATACAAATTAGAAATCAATTTCTAGCTTAACAGTAATGATAAAAAGAATAAGCAAGAAACATTTTTCAGAGAGATTTGAAGAACTTTTATTATGTATTTGATGATTAATATTTTAGACAGTCAAAAATCGCATGAAAATGAGTAAACACAAAATGTTTATTCCACGATGCACACGCATATGTCAAATATTGTTTTCATAATAAAATAGAAACGAATAAGTCTTTATTTTTAAATAAATCTGTAATAATATCTTGAAATTGAAGTATCATATCATTCATGATAATAACCTATAAAACTTGGATAGATTTTGTAATAAAAATTAATTAAATTTTTAATAGATATTATATTTCATGAAGTCTTCGACGACGGGTTCCTTTTTAAAAGATATAAAATGGCGATTTTTTTTTCATAAAAGTCTGAAATCCAATGATATTTGTCAAGAAAAACACCGAATTTCGTGAAGAATCATCGAACTCCATAACATTCCAGAATTTCGTAATCAAGTAGAATAGCACAGAATCTTATGAAATCCTCCCGTTCCGTCCATGAAGAACTTTGTGGTTGCATATCATGATGCATACCCGAACAAAATCTAACATCGGATGACCTGTAACATTAGAGCTTTAGTAATAGCTCCAGTTCCATTATGCAACAATGGCTGTCGAATACAGTCCGCTTTTACGAAACTCGACTTTGCGTCATGTTGTTCTAAAACATTTTTAGTAAATGAGTTCCATAAATTCACATGCTCTCCCAGATCCAAAATTTTCTTGTTTCGCTTTGATGTGCATGCATAATGGTAACCTACGATGACACTGTGCAGCATTAGCACCGCAAAGGAAAGAGAGAATACTGTTATGGCATGGTGAAGTTAGATGATTGTACAATTTATAAGAATCTGTCCAAACGCTCAAAACGTATGTTTACATTTTCGGCCGAAAAAAGGTTAACAATTATGTATTCTAGAATTGCTATCTTCATTATAATACAATCTGTTTATAGAATGAATATTCCATCAAATGTTTTTATGTTTAATATATTGTTTGATTAAAATTATTTATAGTAAGTATAATATAGATGAGGAGTTTTTTAAAAGAGAGATATATCGTAAATGTATATGTGCGCACTTAAAAGATGACAGTTATAGAAGTACAAAGAAAAGCTGTATTAATTTTGTTTTTATCTTGTAAAAATGTAGTTATTAAAAATATATAATTAAGAAAATTCTACTGGAATCGTTGCTTCATTTTGAACTCCGATTTCTGATGGTATCAATTGAAAATTACTTAGATTTTCAATTGGACGTGTGATTGATGATGAATGACGTCGTGGAGAAAATTCGGTTGATTCGCCTAAAAAAAGGGGATAAAATGGCTCAACAGAATCAACTTGTAAATTTTCATTTGAAAAATTAATTTTAAATTTGTTAGCATTTAAACAATACATTTCATCTTCTTGTGTCCATGTATAAACAATGCTAGATGAATCTAATTTGTACGTTGTAGGAGAATTAACGAAAATAAAATGTAATGAATCAGAAATAATTTCTTCTTCATCTGAATAACGCATCATTGTTCCTGATAAAAGAAATAGTCTTTGATGTGTTTCGAGATCAATTGTTAAATTTGATTGGTTTTTGTAAAATGAAACCTTTTCATTTAAAAGCATTTTTAATTGTGCATGATTTAAATCGAAAGATTTGCTATAATTATTCATTATAATATGAAGTGCTATTTCATTATAAATAGAACGAGAGATTTTCTCATCAGATAACAGCAAATTTAATAAAACTGAATCAATTAAATATGTTTCGACAATTCCATCATTAGCAGTATAAGTACCATACGATAAAGACTGTTCAGAGAATAATGCATCGATTCCTACTATACTACCACATTTGTAATAAGTAGGCATCGTATCATCTTTACATTGAACAATACCTCGGATAATCAAATAAGCAGTTGATACTCTTTCATGTCTTCTTAATAGAACAGCACCAGGTTGAAACCATTCATGTTTAGAAATCATAAGAGATTTCCATTGGGTTTTTTCAACTGAAGAAAGTGGTTTGAAATAGGATATTAAATCAAAGGGATCTTCAAGCATTTTCTTTTGATTTTCTGGCATTTGTATACGTCCATATTCAAGAGAAAATAGTTTGTTTTCAATCAATTCTAGTATATGTGAATATTCATTTTCTTCTAACATACCAGTTTCATATAATTGAATAATTGCAACAGATTCATATTTTAAAAGCATTTGAGCACATCGTCTTGTCATTTGCATGGTCCAACAAAGTGGATAGGATTGTTGTAAATCGAGAAGTATATGCATTGCATTTAATTGATATATTTTTACTTCTTCACATACTTCTTTCATTATTCTTTCATTTATATTTGATAATTCAGGAAATTGCAATCGAATATTATCCATTCGTGTTTTAGCAGAATGAAAACCTACATGATAAAAATACTCTTATTTCAAATGTCGTGTATCAAAATATTTTTTCTTCTTCGGTTTAGTTCACGTTCTTGAAAAATTTATTTAGAAATTTTGTTTGAAAGGAATTTGTATGAATAAAAAGAAATTAATTTTCGACTTTTAAAAAACATTGAATTTATACTCTTGTTCAAAAATTTAAATTTTTCAGGAGCGAGAGGATTAATCTTTTCATTCCTTTCTGGATATGTTTCTGCCCATTTTTAACGAAAATTGTTTAATGATGTTTGAGTTTTTAACACTAAGATTTTCTTACACGGTCACTATTCAATTTCTTCAATAAACGCATCGAGTATTTTTTGTGAAACGTGATTTAAAAGAATTGTTGAAGTATATACGGTAGATATTTGTATCTCTCTTCCACACATCGAAACAGATATTACTATGAATACTTCACAAACCATGGCAGGCACGTTAGAAATTACTTATCACAGATGTGATAGATCTGTTAGTAACAACTAGAGTCAGTCTAGTTGGACCCGGACCTTTTCATGTCAGAAAATTTTGAACCGAACAAGCTCTAGTCGTCTGTATGCAATTCTGATTAGAAGATTTCATTGAGATTATCAAAGTACCGTTCAAGTGGATCCAAAGTTTAATCAACCCGATCCGAGCCCGAAAATTTTGGATCCAACGAACTCTAATAAAAGTACATCATAGACGTGACAGACGTTATTAATAAATATGTACTATTTCCTGATTATATTTCTGGAGGGCTAAGTAAAATGATGGTGAAGATAAATGTTCCAAAATAGATAGAACAAAATAATCTTCCTGTGATCAGTAACAACATCTATATCGTGTTGTACATTTTAATCACGTAGGAATTAAGCACTAACAGATTCTTTTAGTTTTCTCATGTGTGTTTCGTTTCATCAATGGAGACCATTGTCATATTTCGATAGCATCGAGAGATACATTAGAGAATGAAATTTCTAATGTAATTTCTTCTGAAGATGAGCTTTCAAATAGACCATGTTGCTAAGCTTGATCCTTATTCTCAATGTTTTTCATTTTCACTAACTTGAATTTCATTTTTTTCTTATATTATAGAAAGATTGATTCTTTCAAAAAAATGAAAAACCTTTTTCTTTTAAAAGAAAAATAAAACCAAGATTTTTTTTCGATTATGTTAATATGATTTGTAATATTTTATGATATTAACTTACTTAAAGTTAGTTCAATAGTTCGAAAAATATGATCAAAAAATAATTGATTTTTCCATTGATTAATAAAATTAAAATAATTAAATTTAATAAGAAATTGAAGAAGAATTGCCAATCGAAAATGTTTAACAATTAATTGCCAATGAAGTTGAAATGAATTTTTTTGTTTTGCTTCTTCAACTGATTTGATAAGAATATCAAGTGTACTTCGACGAATCATTCCAAGATACCATTGTTTCTCATAATCAATTGACATTGCAGTTAAAAAACGAGTAACTAATGCATTTTGAATATTTTGATTATGAATATTATCACTATGTCTAATATCAATAACAGGTAATATTGTATCTGTATTTCTTGAAAATTTCTTTTTTGTTATTGGACTACTTGAAATTGAATTTGTTTGATATATCGTTGGAATTGTTTGTAATTCATAATCTATACTATTACTTTGACGAGAAGATCGTCGAGTCAATGTTGGAGAATTTACATGTACCATTTCTGATAATTGTTGATGAAAAGTTGTATTATTTTCTTGATCTAATTCTTCTAATAATTTATCAGGTAAATATTGATTCAATATTTTCCAATCAACGCTTGCAAATTTTTCATCTTGTTTCATTGTTGATAATTTCCATGATGTTCGTCGTCGCATATGTTCAAATGCTTGTAAAAGAACTGTTTCACTTTCTTTTGTACCTAAAGTAATCATCAAATCTTATACAAACTAATTTAATGATAAAATAAACTGTACACACCGTGATGTAAGCCTAACATTTTTACTAAAAATTTACTGCTTGTTCCATTAATGACTAAAGTAAGTAATACAATCATAGATACATGAAATAGAAAACGATCACGTATAACTGCATCAATATTTGTATCCAAACTAACGATGAGAACTAAAATAAGAGCCATACTACCTCGTAGACCACTCCATATTAAAATAATACAATCTTTCCATGATAAATGTACACCAGTACACTTTATTAATGGATACAAAATACCAACAGTTAATATTCGTCCAATATGAATCATTATATATAATACAATTGAAAATCCGAAATCTCTTGCTGTTATCGTGGTAGCTGTACCGATAAATGATCTCGCTAAAATAAGACCAGTAATAGTAAAAATAAGAATATTTATAAAATAAGTAGCAAGTCGCCAAGCACTGGTCATCGAAGATTGAACATTATTACTGATACAATATTTGTATTTACTCATATATAAACCCATAGCAACAAGTGCAAGAACAGCTGATACACCAAGTTCAACATCAGCAATATAAAAAATAAGATAAGCAAGACCAAAGGTAAATGTTATTTCAATTTCAAGTTCGTTATTGATTCGATTCAATACGATTACACTGATTATACCACAAGCTAGACCAAAAGCGGGGCCACCTAAAAATATTCATTCAACAAGTGTATTCTTTTTAAATATAAAATATGCAGTGAGTTAGGGATGGATCAATTTGCTTGTCAATTCGACTAAATTAAGTTAAGTATTAAGCGGCTTTACTTGACGCTTAATATTATGTTTGACTGATTCCGTTAGATATATATCAATTGATTGCAAGTTTTTCTCAGCTTCAATACGGACTCAGCATGGTTTTGTCCGAATCACTCAAGAAAGAATCCGTGCTGAGTTCGGGCAGTATGATTTTTTGCTCTTGCAGTAGTGAAGGCGCATGAGTTACTGGAATATGAATGGCCAGAAGCATTTTCGTTTTAACCAATCAGATTTCAGTGAATGAGTTCTTCACTATTGTGAAGAGAAAAGAGGATATTGTTTGGGCCATATATAAGAAAAGAGGATCTGTGATAACTTCTGATAGATCCAGACAACATGATGTGTGGTGTTTATAATAGTAGAGACAACCCTGATAAAATCTGATTGATTGAAACGAAGAAATTTCTAACCAATTAGATTTCCTCTAGGGATTTCTCCACTATGGTAAGAAAAAGATCATATTTTTGTGGAAACTTACCATGAAGTTACCAGGAATGCTCTCTTGGGTGGGTCGGATAACATCATGCTGAGTTCGTATTTGAGTGGAGAAAAATTCACAAGTAAATGATATTTTTCTTACGCAATTACTTAAATTTAATTTTTCAAAGTTAAATGTTTCATTTTAGTATGAGTGGTTAACTTACCAATGCTATATTTAACAATATTTGTAATTATATTTTTTGCACTATGGTCTTCACCAATAATAATATTATGAAAAATAAGAAAGAGAACAAATGCTGAGCCATCATTTAATAGAGACTCAGAATCAATCAATGAAGCCAGCGATCTACTTGCACCAGAATCATGTAATAAAGCGACAACAGCAACCGGATCTGTGGCACTTAAAATACTTCCAAATAGAATACCAAGTAACCATGACCAATTATATGGAAATATATAAATTGCACATATTGCGATAATTACAGTTGATATAAATACACCAGGACCAGCCATAAGAATTGCTGATAATAATTGTTGTTTTATAACATGAAAATGACCATTAAATGATGAATCAAATATTAATAATGGTAAAAAGATATAGTATATTAAATGAGGATCTACTTGACTCAACTGAATTGCTCCAAAGAGAAAATCGTTATGTGCTTTTTTTATTTCTGTTACAATAATACCAATTATAAATCCCAAAATGAGAACAGCAATCGTAAATGGAAGTGGAATTTTGTTTTTTAATACTCTTGAAAATATTATTTTACATATACATGCCAATAATACAGCAAATGATAAAAATAAAATAACTGTACTACTTTTTGATTCTTCTTCATGATTATTATGAATTGTTGAATTCGTTTCTACATCCATCTAAAAAAAATCATCAACTAAATCTATAGTTTTATTCAGCATTAGACAATTTTACATTGAACTAAAGATACGACAAGGTAAACACTAAATATAGAAATATGTTAGATATTATTATAACGAAGAGCTGTTTTATATTAAAATGAATAAATGTGTTTCTCTTTATATTGACACTTTTCATTTAAATAGACAGATCGATTTATTACAAAAAAACATAAACATAGATTCAAATACAAAGATCGATACCTCAATGCTATGATACAATCATTCAAATTACTCAGTAACATATTTTTAGAACTTTTATCAAACAATCAATCCATTACAGAACAATAAAAATATATATACATACGTAATCATTTTGATTATTCATTTGGTATACCTAATTTGTGTAATAGTGATTCATAAAATGTCGCAAATCAACAATCAAGTTGAATATATATCTATTTTAATTTTATTGATCGATTAAAATAGTCTCTAAAATCAATTTATTTAATTTTATCATATTACATTTAGTTCAATATTATCATGAAAAACAAGTCTAATATCCGTCAATAGTATGTCATTTTAAAAATCGATCGATGTATTGAAATCTATTGTAAATAGGTTTGATTAAAAACCATTCTTTCTATGACTATAAACTAATGTTTGTCAAACTGATAAACATTCTCGTGATATACATGTGCGTCGAGACAGTCATGCATAAAGCGAAAACATGTTTCATTGCATGCATATAATATTCAACCTGTAAGATCGACGATAACAAATCATTATTTATGTCGATGTACAGTATGCCAGTAAAAATATAAATGAAAAGATAAAAAACAACGAATTTTTTCTTGAATAAACTCGCTGATCGAGCTAAAATTCTTTCTTTCGATAAAATTTCAATGGGTCCATTAATAGAATATTATAATGATCTATCGATACCATAATAGAAGAACATCATAAATGTGTGTCAAAAAGACCTATTTTGATATCATTCGAAAGGTTAAAAAAGCTCATCGATCGAAATAATGAATATAGAAAACATTATTTATTTTCGAATTATCTGAATCTATCAAAGTAATTAATAGATCATAATAAACATCAATAAAACTATTACAGTTAATATTTTATGAAAATACTAAATTAAAGTTTTCAGCTTCTATTATTAGTCTAATTAGTACTAGAATATTATTAAACTTACTTTGTTTCTGAAAAATGTTGTAGAAAAAGTTTGACCGAGGTAAAATTATCCATTGTTAAGGTATAGTACAATGAAATTAGGAAATTGAATTTAAATCTCGGAAAATAAAAACTGAACAAACTTCGAATATATTAATAGTCGATATAATAATTCAAAGATATTGAATATGCGACATAATTATTATGCTAATTCATCATCAGTTAAAGAGTGTATTCGATTTACAAAATAGAACGATCGATTGCATTGTCAGTTAACTAAAATACAAAATATTACCTACAAGCTTTTTTATGCTGTTTTTTTTTGCGTGTTCAATGAAGCGTATCCTCCAGAAAATATAATTACAGTAGAATCTCTTTCAGCGAACAGTCTTCTTATGCGTGATCACGCTGCCGCACCAAATGAATGCCCTCCGAATCAATTTTACTAGTTTTCAAATATTCCTGTATAATCACCCGTTGACTTGGCCTTTACTCTATGTCTTGATTTTGTCAATGTCAACATCAGTTGAGGATGCCACTTGAATAAATCATAGTTCACGCTACCTACGAAAGTTACTTTCATGAATCTGATTGGCTCTACAAATTGAAAATAAACAAACCAAAAGGATGGACACAAAATTATCATTTTTTTTTCGATAAGCGCTCTAGATTTATCTATTTAGTAAGAGCTCTCACTTGATTTACTGAAACAAAATGGACTTATAAAAAAAAACCGTGTTTGATTTCATCACGAATGACGGAACCAATATCTATTGTTTCTTCGTGATATTTTAAATATTCTGAAGCGAAAAACAAACAGCTACATCAATGATGATGAGACTAATCGAAATAAAATGATGAAATAGGAGATTAAAGAATTGAATATTTCAAAACATCCATCTATTTGGATTATTTAAACCTATTTTCATCGAAAGTTGAAGCACATATTTGAAATTTATCTACTCAAAAATTCGTAAGAGTATTAAAAGTATTAAAAATATTGAATAAAATAATAGAAAAGTAGTTAAAATGAGACAGACGATAATAAAATTGATAGTTTGATTGATATTTTCTTACACAATCAACCTGTTATATTCAACAACTTTTGTCTATCTTGTCTGTATTTGTAGCGGAGAAACTTTACTGCAGTCATTTATATCCTAAGTTAACTATACATTCTTCTTCTGAATGTATTCTTGTCAGTATATTGCTCAAATTCATTTTAATTATTCTTTTCACAAGATAAAGTTAAAATTCTTAAGATTTTTTAAAATTAATCATAAAATAATTAGTTTTAATTTCTAGAAACAGAATATACTATTTATATAATCCAACAAACTCCGCTATTTTACAGATTTGCTCGAAAACAATATTCGCGATTTAGTAATTGCTAGTTTCAAAGAAATCTAACATATATTAAAAAAACAGCGTTTTATCGCAGCTCCGTTGTGACTGAAATATGAAGCTTACATATTCCACGTAAGCTAACAGATAAGTTAGTAATTATAAAATTTCTTTTTATGTAATGAAATATACTTTGAAGTTTAGATCAAGCGAAGTGAAAAACGATCAATGGTTTACACGCTCAAAGATTTATTTGCGTATTAATTGCGATCAAAATCATTGACAAAATATTAAAATGTTTTGTTTTAAAATCATTTTCAATATGATTAATTTTTATGGATTCTTTAACGTGCAAAACTAAATGAAATGTCGATTTGTTTATGATATGACGAAGAAGAAAAGTGTACGACAACAATCACAGTAGATGAAGCCATGAATAACTATAATGGTATTTCTCACGGATTGAAACAGTTACAGATAAATGCTGAAGCACTAATTACAATAAGAAAAAAAATATTGCCACACTATTACCAGTGCATATTTTAGTACCTTCATTCTACACTCTTTCCATTGCTTTTTCTGTCTTTGATTTTAAAATTTCAACCAATGTTGTTCGCTACGCAAAAATTTTATTCTTGCTTGCGTAACTACAATGCTGAGGTCTGTAGTTATGAGGAACAATGGAGAGCCGTAAAACTTCGTCTTAAAAAGTACACTCACTATTTTCTTCGAAAATATATGTAAATTTTAAAAAAAATTAAAGTTTTTTATCATCTTTAACCACGCACTGAATAATTATTAAGAAATGAACTTATGCATAATTAAGAGATTTTTATCCTGTTAGATAAAACAGGTCTAATGTTTTGCAGTACGAATCTTCACTGATCAATATTCTTGCTTTTATTCTTTCCAGAGTTTTGTCTTTCTTGATCATTAGTCTAGACTTTTTGTACGTATCATATCTTGAATGATGAGGCAAAAATTGTTTCGCCAAGCAAGAGTCTTGCGCTCTTGGCTGATTTTTGTAATTTAGATGTCGCTTTGGCGATGCGTCAGTAAGGTTATTTTCTTTCGTATTGTCCTATTTTATTATCCACCCAGAATAAAATATACAAAGAGTAAAAAATAACTATTGAAAAAACATATATAATCAAATGTGAATACAGATAAAATACGAAAAAAACAAAATAAAAAACGTTTACAATGATAACGCAAAAATAACTTCATAGCTACGCGATGAATTTGACATGCTCATCAAGAAAAAACGAACTGAATGATAAAAATCATATTTACATTAAAAATGCGTACTTTTAGTTATCATTCGTTTGTGCCATATCAATCACTTGGAATTGATAATGAATGATCTGTTGCCAGGTCCTTTGTTTTGAAAATATTATTTCTGAATTCTTTAAAATCAACAATAATTCGAATTAATTGATGAATTAAAAATGCATCTTTTCTATTTAGTATGTTCACTTATCTGATATTGACGTTAAACTTATACGTTATCTGAATGAACATCTTTTTTGTTCAATTGTTTGAACACATGATTATAAAGTGTCGTTGTATAGAAATGAATTAATTAGCTAGTAGACGTTTATAATTATAAATGTATACATAACCTTTGTTTTGATAATCAGAGCGTGCTGTTACAATAATCGACTGCCAAATGTAAATATTCTTGTCTGTTTTTTTTTATAAGTATCACTTATTCCGTACATTTTCGTTTTATACTTTGCTTTACCTCTTCTTCGTATATCTCATGTCATGTTGTTTTAGTTATCATGATTACATTTTTTTCGATAATGCGAAACAGAACTGATATGATCAAAAACATTGCCTTAATTGCAGCCTTTTTCGTATGGAAAAACTTTATGATTACTGTATCTGTTTTAATTTGTTATTTCCAGCAGCGTTCAGATTTCCAAAAAGGGAAAGGCGACTATAGCTTTCACAGTAATTTTTGATTCTAGAACGAGATACGTGTAGGTTCGTAGAGATAGGCTTTCTCTACCTGATAGTGTATATACGATCAATTTCTATGGACTAGCGTTGAGATATCAACAGAGGGCGCCACCTTCATGTAGACCACAGTTGCATGCATCGAAGATTGCACCCTCTATTGATATCTCAACGCTACATCATAGGACTTGATAGTACATACACTATCAGGTAGAGGAAGCCTAACTCTACAAACTGAAACGTACCACATTCTGAGGCCAAAGACCTTTTAGTCGCCCTTCGCAAGTTTCGAACATTTCAAGCATTCGTGTTGCAATCTGCTCGACATTTTTCAAAATTATGTAATTTCCAATATTTCTGAAATTTTTTTCATGTTTCTATAAAATTTTGATTTATACTGCCATGTAATTATTGAGGTAACGAAAATTTCGAAAATTTTAGTCATTTCCAGTTTTCGAAAATCTGAACATACCCTACTATTTCGTGTAAGAACTTCTTATTATCTTACTTACAGGCAAAAAAATGAAGTAAACAACTGAAACTAGAATGGTACATTAATGCCGACTTTTGGAATTAAGCGTATTCACAGAGTTACAAGCATCAATGTGCCTGCTTTGGCCTGCAACCGCCTTAGACCAGAATAGAAAAAAGTAGCCTATCGGGCCGCTGGGAAAGTTAGCACATGTTTCGAGTATTTCCAGTACCGATTCGTCCAAGATGTGTTCCAGATGTTTCCACTATTGTTCCCAGTAAAGTTCGACACGATCTATCTACTAACACCGAGAAAAGGATCTGAAACGCATACTGGGCGAGTTGGTGCTGGAATTAATCTAAAATTCCCTGTTGTCGATAGAGAATCCCAGGTATTTTCCAATTTGTGAAAACATGATGTGAGATATCGTAAATCTGATTTCATCATTCGATAGAGTGCGTCGAACACCACTTAGCGGATAAATAAGAACACCTGAAACATATCCTGGGCGAATCTGCGTTCGGAATTCTCGAATTGGGTGTCAACTTCACTTACATCCTGCCAGCAGCTCTAATAGGAAGTCAGTAAGCTTTTTTATTAATCAATAAATTGTAGTCAGTTAGTGGAAAAAAATGCTTTGAATAATGCAAGAAATAAGATTAGTAGTGCAAAATTTTCTTTGATTGATGTCACTGTAACATGTTTTGAGAGTGCTAAAATGCTTTTTTAATCAATCTTAACTTATATGCTCTTGTATTACGGTTATCTATGATTATAGGGAGGTTGATGCAATTTATTTTCTTTTAATTGAAGCTTTTGATATGAAATTTGTTTTAATTAATTATTTGGACTATTGTTGCGTTTTTAGATGTTCCTAAATCTTGGTTATTCGTACTGAAAGTGATTCGCAAGAGAACGTGGGGTCTACAACATCAACAAATGACCCATAGCATTCTTTCTTTAGCCGACTCTCAAACAGATGATAGTATGCAAGCGGAGGAACAATCGAAAAATTCAGTATCATTTCCTTTTCCGAAAACTCATACCTCTTTTAACTATGACAATAACGAATATGACCACATTATTGTCAATTTAAACCTTTGTTCTGATGACTCACCACAACTATTTGTGGATTCAACTATTCGTACTGCTGCTGCGATTTATCGTATCACGGTGAGTGTGGATGAGCATATCAGTATAAGTGTGCGGATATTTTTTTTGTCACACCGACATCTATCTAGCTGTCTCTGTGGCAAGTTCACAACTTTCGACAATGAATTGAGGGCAACATACCAAATAGTTCCATTTCAGTATGGGGCAGATAGATAAATTAACGTCGACAGTATTTTACGCTTGTATTAGAAATAAGCATGAGTGCTGGTTTTTATCTTGCAAAGATATCACTAGGCATCTGATTAGTTACAAATATTCGAGTCAAAATGAATGAACGACAGTCATTAATGTCGGAATTCAATAATTGTTAGATTTTTCGTAATTTTCTTTATCACAAAGAAAACGATGACACACATGTACAGTGTTTGTAGTGTAATCAAATTTGTAAAATAGATCTACAGATTTAGTTGCTTGGTCCGAGCATCGCACTCAATAACATATCTTTTGAAAAGAAAACCAGTGTTGTGTTATGCTGATGAATAGATTTACATGCAAGAAAAATTCATAAAACTATGATCCCAGTTGGTACTTTTTCTTTTCATATTTCTTAAAATCAGTTGTTTATTGATTCCAGTTGGAGAACCTGGAGTTGTATGAATTCTAAAAGATCCTCTGTAAATTCGCGATGCAACGTCGAAAATCTAAACACGATGATTATCCACTTTCTCCCCTGCACAGTTGACATTGAAATGAAAATTATCTGCATAGAAATGAATGGATTTTTTTGGCCGTTTCAAGCGGTAAGTGTTTGTTTATTTTGGGAAAACATAAATGTTTCTGAGTAAAGTATGAATAACAAGACAAACATACAAGCGCTGCAATCAAAATTCACCTTGAAGAGAGAAAACGAATGCATGCCTATAAGTAAACAGTTGCGATCTTGATGGTGAGTGTGTGACAACTAACTGGCTGTCTTTTGTACTGTATGACATGGCAATACATTTGAAAAGGAATCAGTGTGTTCGACTGTAAATATTATACTCACCCAAATGCAATGCTTTATCAATTTTACTTTTCGATTTCTCAATATACTCTCAAGTATCCTCTACGAAAAGCATTGTAAATTCTCAGATCGAAGAATATAATATTTTGCAATGTTTGAAAAAGATTGATGAAAATATTGTGTTTAAATATACTGAGGCTCATATCGAAATACTGATGTCTTGCATATCTTTCATTTTACATACTGTTTGATTGAACTTTTCCAAAAATATACAATAGACACAATCAGTTTTTTTCTAGTTACACTATCTTATTTCATATGTCACCATCTCAATCACTGATCGATCAAATGTTGACAAACATGTTTTGTATGAGTTCTGATGGTTGCTACATACATTCATGAAGAGAGATGGAAAATTGTAACACAATAATTATTCATTTTCACTTCTGACAAGTTAACATTTGAATAAAACTCATTTCTATGCACACTAATGGATTTCTTTTCTCATTCTCTCTCGTCTGAAACATGTTCCCTTGACAATGAATCGTTCGATGTTTGCTATCAAGTTATGAATAAGAAGAAAAAACACAGTTGTTGCTCTAAAGATTGGCCTTAAAGTATGAAATGAATTGTGCGCATATAAGTAAGATATTCCAATCTCAGTAACGTTTATTAAATAGATAGATTGATCTGCTCTACCTTTTGCACGGCGGCCCTCAGGATGTGGATCTAAGTCTTGTCTCAATTCACACCCATCCTATTTTGCTGGAACCACCATCTTCTCCGTTGCTGTTGACTCAGTATTTGAAAACGGTGTTGATCTTCTTTTTTTACGAGAAAGTGAATTTTTTTCTCTTGTCAACGTTTTTTTTATGCCGGTATTTTAGAAAATTAGCTTTCTGTATGAATATTTACCTGAAAAGGTTCATTTATTATAAAACTAAATCAGTTTTTTCAAGTTAACTACCATACTTGATACTTTGCCTTGACTTCCATTTTTTTCGTTCATAGTGAATATTTTGTAAACATATTCACAAGCAATCTTAAAAAGACCAAATGCGCATGTGCTGAAATGTAGAGAAAATGAATAAATTCGCTATCAGACTTATATTTTATCAGATATCGCTAGTTTTATTACTTCATCTAGATATTCATTAAGCAAATGCATCGATAAAAGTTTAACCCATGTTTATTAAGAGTCAACCGAATATCAAATTGATAAGCTTCAGAATTTAGTGAACTTCATTGGATTGGAATAATCTTAAGGCTTAAATTTATCTTAAACTTGAATTTGTCCAAATTCAGGTGCACAAATAATTAACACGAAACCGATGCCATATCAGTATAAGTATGCCTAGTTAAGTTTTCTTAAATAAATCTACTTTTATGCTTCTACAAATGTTATGTTGTTGTGCATGCGTAATTGTTAATAAATGAGACACTATTTATTCAGAAGCATTAATGCAATCAAACTGTGAAAAGAAATTTTCCAGTTACTATGAAGCAGGCACCTCGCACTTGACGCGGAACGTAGCGATCACGTCGCTGAGCACAAAGACTTGGGCGGTGACCGCCTCCGTCACTACCTCAAGCGGCCTGTTCTTTTACCTGACCCAAAATTTTCTGCTTTTCCGTTTTTTTATTTTTGGTATTGAGACTTAAATGTCCTCTATCTAATGAGTACGTTTTAAGAAGTCAAAAGCAATTTTTCCCATTTAAAAAGATCGAAGAAAACAGCTTAATTGAATGCTAAACACGATAAATGAGTAGCGTGTTCAAACTGGTTTGCATGTTTCTTTTTCTCTTGAAAATATTGTACTTATGAAGTTTGGCAGATTTTACAAAGTTGGCACCATTCGAAAAAAGCTTTTTTTAATAGTTTTTTGATAGTACCTCTAATGTTTCACTTCTCCTGAGCCTCAGGAACAATATTCTTTACAGTAAAAAACATGTTCCACATTTGTTTCTAATTATAACAGAACAAATTTCAACCCCAAAAAAACGCAGGGTGAATATTTGCGGGGAGACTTCAAGTCTTTTCAGGTCCTTGATCTCCCAAAATATCCCAGAAGAAAGCATTTGGGAAATTTGAGTCTATCATAACTTTTTTTCTACTCATCAAAACCTATCTACAGTGAAAATTTCAAAATTTTCCATTCAGTCGTTTGCAAGAAAGCACAGTGAGGGAGATCTCCCTAAAGCATACGCCATTTTTTGTGTTGCTCCCGCCTCGTTTCTTTAAGGGCAATGCACATCTCTACTACATACTGCCTGTCTGCTCGCCGTGGTGGCAAAAACACACGAAAGACAAAATTAGTTTTTTTTATTTACGTTATCGCATTTGCAATGTTACCATCCCGATCGCCGTTCGATAAAATTCAGAGAAACATGCTTTCTATGAGTTCTGAAGGTTGCCGTACGTTTTCATAAAGAGAGATCGACAATCTGAAAACAATAATTATTCATTTTTGCACCTGACAAGGTGACATTAGCATGTAAATAATTTCCATAGTCACTAATGGACTTTTTTTTTCTCACTCTTCCCTGCGACAATTGTTTGCTTCATTGGTGAATAACTCGAAGTTTGTCAGCAGGACATGAATAATAAGAAAAGCATCCAGGTGTTCTATTCAAAATTTACCTTGAAGAGCAAAAACGAATGCATTTTCATAAGTAAACAGCTACAATCTTGATAATACGTATGTGAAAAATAGCTTGATATGCGTAGTTGTGTACGCCGTGACGATAGATTTCGAAAGAAATCACTGTTTTCCGCTTTATGCCTTACATTCACCTATAATGCAAAGCTTTTTCAGTTTTGATTTTCGGTTTCTCAAGATAAACTCAAGTGTTCTCTGCGAAAGGCATTGTAAATTTTCAGATTGGAGAAAATAATGTTTTGCAATGTTTGAAAAAGATTGATGAATGGAAAAGGCGTATCAGTGTGCTTAGATATTTCTTGCAAGGCTACCAGCTTCGAACAATAATGATGCACTATTGTTTGAGCCAAACCATAGTCATTATGGCATCTAATAACGAAACAAGCTATTGTGTTCGAAAGATGGATTTGGTATAGCTATAGAAAAGTAATAGTTGCCTATTGAATCATTTTCTATTGTTCTGCTATCTATCTAGAGCAAAATACAGATGATCGATGCCTTGTATCCTACTCATCATTTCCTCTTCACTTATTCTTTGATTGATTGCGGATTACAAAAATTCTTGTTGAAATAAACGGAGGCTGCTATCGAAATACTGACGTCTTGCATATCTTTTGTTTTGAATACCATCGGATTGAACTTATTGGAAAAAATATAAGATAGACACAATCAGTTTTTTCTATTAACTTTATGTTATTTCATCTGTCACCATCTCAATCACTGATCGATCAAATATAGACAAACATGTTTTGCATAAGCACTGACAGTTACTGCAAACAGTCATGAAAGAATGACCGAAAATCGGAACACAAAAATTATTGATTCTCGCTTCTGACAAGGTGACATTTGAATGAAAATCATCTCTATACACACTAATGGATTTTTTTTCTCACTCTCACTCGTTTCAAACATATTCTCTTGACAATGAATCGTTCGTTGTTTGCCATCATGCTATGAATAAGAAGAAAAAATACGGTTGTTGCTCTAAAGATTGATCTTGAAGGATGAATGGAATGTGTGCATATAAAAAGCAGTTTGAATCTCAGTAACGCTTGTCAGACAGAGAGATTTACTTCTTCTACTTTGTATACTGTGTCAGAATATTACGTAAACATCGGTATATTTATTTGGTAAAGTTTGTCAAGTTTCTAGTGTATTTTTATTATTTAAAGGTGAGTGTTTTCTTAGAAGCACCAGGAGTTAGAAAGTACAGTGGAAAGATGACATACTGAAGAACTAGTGTAAGCTATTAGAACATACATTCTAAAGTTTTAGGATATACGCAAAGAGATTTCACATAAGTTATTTCGATGAATTGGAATGTCAAAAATAGTGATCTCTATGCATGTATATACTCAATATATGATGTTGTTTTCGACGAGATATTGATAAAAAATGTCGAAAGATGAGCTGGTGATTTTTTTGACTGTGCTAAGATATTTGAGAATGTAAAATAGAACACTGATGGAGGAACACTTTCTCAATAAATAAATTCGAAAATACAAAAGTATAATAGACGGAAACAACTGTTTATTCCGACAATAACGAAATCTGAGCTGCAACTATTTTTTGAAAGTTTTGGATAGAAACAAGTACAAGACTGGCCGTCTGCATCAATAAAACGATGATTATCTAAGGTATAGAATATGCAAGGTTAGATTAGTTTAACAAGAGATCATTCATTTAAGGTCGCTACGGACAAGACTTGACAAAGTTATTGAATTTCGCAAATTATACTCCTCAGTCCCAAACCAAATCAATTATTCTTTAGACTGAATAGGTATGCTCTGAAAAGGTTAAGTCCTATCTGTATATTTATGTATGTCTGTGTCTATCCATAAGACGTGTTAATTTTATATGCGCTCTTCCCACATCCTCCTACCTTCATTTTTTCTTCTAATTGACTGCATATCATTTTATGTTTTTCCAACGAATTTTTTTTAGTTTTTCTTTTCTCTCATTCGATCTTTATTGCGCTTTAGAGTATCTGTTACAAAGGAGAAACAGCAGAGACTTAGGTCATGCAGTCGTACATATAATTCTGAAGTCTCTTGAAGTCTTCTGAATAGTGAAGAAGAAGAAGAAGAAGAAGAAGAATACCCTTGCCTTTCAACTGCCTTCCGGTATAGGGTACTATCCAAGGACAGTTTCGAAAGCCCATTGTTTTTCCTACAACAATGACTAGCTGCAGTTCTAGACAGAAGGCGAGCCTGACTCAGAGTTCCCTCCCGCTTAATTGCTTAAGCTTCCCATGTATACTGACTAGCCACATACTAGCCACAAGATCTTTTTTGTATGTCACATGTAGTCAGCATGCTATCGGATCGGATGTCCGAGAAAAACAGCCGTTAGTAACTTGTCCAAGGTCATTCTATGTCTGATGGCGCCGAGGTTCAAACACACTATCTTGTGGATATGTGTCGAACACCGTAACCATTCAACCATAGTGGCTTCTGAATTGTGTTTCTAATGACAGACGTACAAAGCAAAAGCAGAATATACAAAACATCTAGTTCTCTCAGTATACATACAAGAGGTGAGGCTGAATCCATGATTTCTGTTATTCCAAGAGTCGTGATCACAGAAATGGGATAAGTAAGTTACCAACATGGTACTAAGTCACAGATACCGAAGAAGTTTGTGGGTTTGGTTCTTTCATCAGGAAATAGCTATGAGCCGAAAATATCGTCGTTTTGAAAAAGTGTGAACCTAGATTTTCTGAATCGTGAAATTCGAATCTGTAATGTGTTTCTCAACAGTTTTGAATTTG